TCGACTGAATTGTCAAAAGATTTATAAGTAAATTTGTCAAATTAAAAGATTTAGGACTAAATTGACCAAATTAAAAGGTTTAGAACTAAATTGGCACAATCACAATAGTTTTTAGACTTTTTTGGTAATTTTCCTATAATCCCCTTTGTCCTGGACTCATTTACTTACTAAATATTAGCTATTTATCTCATAAGCGCTATAGATCTAGACTGCTTTCTTTCCTTTTTTTTTTAATCAAACTACTATTTGACTATCATATTTGGGTCGACCATTCGTCTTACCTGGTCCATAAATTTAACACCATGTAATTCCTTGCTCCAGACCTATGCGGACTTCCTCGTTATCAAACCATCTACAGTCGCGACGAACTAACGAGAATTTTTTTAATACCAACGAGGAAATCTAGGGAGAAAACGAGGGGATTGTCTTTGCTGGTTCACAAGCAAATCAAAGGCCCAACAAGCACACAACTGCGCTAAGGACGGAAGACTGAATGAGCCCAGAAAATGCATGTCCGTACAAAGGCCTATTGATGTAAAAGGTCCAAATTGAAGTTCACTTCCACCCATACGTTCATTTCTCGATCCTTTGATCATTTTCTTTTGTTTTAATCCATGAGAGAACTATGTTTCCCTTCTTGATAGATACATATTGTGGTCTATAATTTTCTCGACATAAATCTTTTCATAGGGTAACAATTCCTAACACGACACGAATCTATTAAGAAAAATTCTGACATGACATGACATGACACGACACGATACGACACAATTCAAATGAATTGACGTACTTTCGTTCTTTTTTGATGAAAAATTCTTAATAACCGCGCTTAAACATTTTTGTAGTGATAGGGGAGATCACACAAATAATTGATATAAGTACACGATGAAACACGAATTGCCAGCCTTTCATCAAATAGGAGGTAGAAAGGGAGAGAGAGGTGAGTTTTGTTTTCGTGCTTCTAATTGCCGCACTAGTGAAGTCTTGTAGTCATTCAATAAGCCGTGAGTGTCTTCTCTGAGGGTTTGCTCTGTGACTAGTGCAATGGTAATACATCCAGTTTGACATCGTTTTTCTCCGTGAAAGACGCAATTGTCTTAAGCTGCGAGGTAATTCTTAGCGTGTTGATTTTATCGAGCGATTACGTGAGACTAAATACTGTGAGATTGTGTGTAATTTAGGAATGAGAAATACCTAAGCGATTGAGCAACTGCAACTCCGTAATTCTCCAAATGATTAACCAATTCTTTGCAACTAACTCTTCCGTGATGTAAGTACCGACACTCGAACTAAACCACCGAAAATTTCATCCTCTTTCGTTTGATTTGAATTGCGTGTTCGTTAGCTTCTGTGTCATTTCTCATTATATGTAATTATAAAACGCTCAATACACTAACAACTTAAACATTTAGAGTATACAACATGATATGTAATGTGTAGTTGGTATCGAAGTTAAAGGTTTTGAGCTCAATCTTTCACACTCCAAAGCCTTCGCCATCAAATCGTCCTTTACATAAGAGGGAGTACTACGTTAAGAAATTGCAAAATGCATCGGCCTCCAACAGCTTAAAATTTCTGAGTAAATGATCCCATAAAATTTCATATTGATAGTTCGATTCATGATCATATATGACAACATATCTTGGATCTTATTTAATTATCGAAGAATATCTCATTGTTGGCTTGATAAACGGTGTCAATCTCTATGTTAGATTACTCCAAAATATTATATATTACATAAGCGAGTCAGTACAAAAATTTGCTCAATATTAAGTCAGCGAGTCAGTGAATTTGCTCAATACAAAAATTTCTGAAAGTACATGGTTGCACATTAATCAAGATAAATTGAAAAACAAAGTCAAATTGTAATAGAAGGAAAAGAAAAAGAAGAAGCAAAAAGTGAAGTCCACATGTCCTTATGGTAAAAAACGATCATTTTAGCTGGACTTCTTGGCAACTTAGCTCACAATTCAAATTTAGTATAAAAGAAAATGAGAGCCCATCGATTACAAGAATGTTTTTTTTGTTGGACCCCATTAACATGGTTGGTGGGGCAGATTGCTGACAGCCCATCGATCAATTTCAACCCTCATCCTCAATTAATGCAAGCTTAAATTGATCGCAGGTAAGAAAATATTTCATATAATCGACACGGTATCTCCAATCATGTAACGGGTTCAATGTACATGGTTGCTAGATAAAAAACGACCGTAAGCATATGACGTCGTAGTGGAATGGATAGTTTAGTAATGTCAAATTGCTCGATGTAAGTGCACGAGGACCGGAAAAAGGGTTAAAGACGTAGATTTAGGTCCAATGACTTTGAAAGGTGAGGAGAGTACCGGTGGGGAGATCCACCCTTGATAGAAAAAATCTAAGGAAAAATGACACAAATGATTTATGAACTTTAATTCAATGTGCAATGTGGTATCTGAACTTTTAATTTATTCAATTTAGTCCATAAAATTTTAGTACATGTTCAATTTAGTCCTTGAACTATATGAAAATGTTCTTTGTTTTTCCTGATCTCGAATTAATAAAAGGATTATATTGAACATTTTCATATAATTTATGAATTACACTGAGCATGTATCAAAAGTCTAGGGACCAAATATAACAAATTAAAAGTTTCAAGATCACATTGTACATTAAATTAAAGTTCATGGACCATTTATGTTGTTACCCCAAAATCTAACTAATTCTTCAAATCAAATTCGTGATTAACGTGACGCAATCTGATGTTGCAAGGGCAACTTAAAGTTGAAGTCGACTCATCTCCACGACGAAAAGTACCTCTAATTAAAAAAATGGAAAATCCCCCGTGACGTCATGCATGACGTTATTGCTCAGTCGTATCTTCAACTTGATCTTATTGTTCTTCAATTTTAAGCCCGAACTTGATATTATATTGCTGTCTAAGCAAAGTCCAAACTCATAATATTCCCTGTCGCTTGTCATCATGCGTGAGCTTATGTCCCAAGATTCGTTTTAGTACAAGGCGCAAAGGGTTGAAAATTAATTTTTCAGTTTTTTTCAAGAAAGAGATTAGGCAGCAGGGAAGGATGGTGCTGGCAGAAATTTTGAAAATGACTCCAAGATTTATTCGCGATTAATTAAGATGGTCAGAATCGAGATCGGAGGTTAGCGCGAGATAAGACAAATCGAAAACTCTGATGAAAAGAGCTGTGATTTAATTAAGATGATTCGAATCGATATTAAGGATTAGCGCTAGATAAGACAAATTGAAAACGAAAAGAGCGGACGAATCTCTTACAAGTCGAGGGTTTCGGAATCTTTTTACCCGTTGAGGGTTTCTTCTTGTGGTTTTGCATAGGTTTCAATGGATTTACTCAAACATTTTTTTTACTGAGGTCATGAGAATATTTGCAAAAGCTTTTATTTATTCTGATTTTTTTTGGATAATTGAGAAATTCTTGCACAATTTACAGTAGCAGGAATTTGCAAAAGCTGCAGCTGCTGAGCACTTGGGAATTTTTCTTTTCTTTTTAATGAGTTTGATGAACTCTTAATTTTTAAAATTTTCTAGCCCTTGTTATTCTTTTATTATTAGCCTATAAATAATTTAAGACCGCTATATCTAGGATTTTATTATCGTGAAAATGAAAATCCGTTTGTCGAATCTAGGTTTTAAAGAGATATTTTACTTTGAATAAACGTGTATCATTGTCTACGTGGTGCTGAGTAGTTATGGTTCAATTCGAATATCTCGTAACATATGCGAGACTCTTATGTTAGCGTCTAGAGGTGGTCGCTAGCATTGATTGCCGCTTCCGCCCTTTAACCGATAAACAAAATGCTTGTTACTAGCAAATGTCCTTAAAATCCAGGAGAACAAAAAAACAAAGGTGGAAACTCATGAAGATGGTTTACAAATTTTGAAAGCCGCATACATATTGATTTTAGGAGTTCACTGGCATTTCATTTGTATGAGTTCCACAAAGTCATAGCATGGATTAACACAAAGTATCATGGTCTGCACTTCGTGGTGCTGCTCGAAGAACACTTGTTCAAAATAAACGATAAAAACATTATTTGATTTCGACGTCACAACAAAAATGGGTATATACTAAAAAATACAAACTTTCTACGTTAGCATAAGATATGTCTCAGTAAAACTTTACTTTTTTTTTACTTTTTGCTTAATTTGAATTTTGAGGCGAATACTATTTGCCATTTTTTAACTCATAATGCTTGAAATTTCTACGATATATATGTGACATCCTTGAATTAACTCACTCAAGATATTATCTATTTAGGCATGTCCCATACCAAGCCTCGCAGTTTATTATCTTTTGGTGTACAAGTAAGCACTTTTCCATGTAGTGCTCTAGCCTAAACACGTTTAACCTTGAAGTTCCAAAACTAAGCGATGCGGTTGTGTCAAAAGTCACCTCCATAAATTAATTCACTTTTCACATATAAATCCCGAAAACGATCTCCTCCTGTTTGGTGTACAATTTTCGGTGTACAATTTGGTTTATTCTTGCCCCTTCTCTATCCGAGAAGCCTGTTAGGTGCCCGCTCCTTGTCTAAGCCCTCTGGCTCCGGTGATCACTCCTTGCGTTCATCGACCCGGGCCGTTACAACATAAATGTTGATTCGCAGATTCTTGTATGATTATTTGGAATTTTTTAAAATTAGAATAAAAAAAGATTTTCTTTTTACTTTTTGAAACTCTAACTTCAAGTCATAGCCAAATACCAATGCCAGCTTGAAACCCCAACGCAAGATCCACCGGCACGTCGACTTGCCAACTAGTTTCAATTTTCGATGCAATTTTTCTTTCCTTTTTCTTGCATCTCCTACTTGTGAAAAGTAGAAATAAAAAAAGATAAAGAAAGAACAAAAGAGGGAAATTCAGAATTATAATGTTTATCAGCGAGAAACTCACAAGTATCATAATTTATTATGAACGCTTCTGCAACGACAACGCAGGAGAATACGCAGACTTAAACCCTAAATTCCATAAAAGGATTCAGTAAGGAAACACTCATTTTTCTTATAGGTTTAAAAGAAATATATTACATTATTTCCTCCTTGCTGCTCATCGAAAAACAAAAACCAAAGAAAAATTTTCCATAGAGAGCTATTCCCGAGAGCATGCGCAAGATTGATTCATACAACCCCAGAACAAAGGAGGTTCAAAATGGGAAAGTTTACATGATAATGGCTCTGTGTCTGGCCACCGTAGGGAAGCTATTGAACGCCATGACCGGAACGGCGCAGGTCGTCTCCATCAACAGCCTCTGCTGGAACGTCTCCAATGAGACGCCGGCTTCGATGATGTCGGCGATCAGAGACCTGTAATACTCCTTGAGCTTCTTCAGCATGCACGAGTATTGCAGCTTGAGACACCTCAGCCTCATCTTCCTCCACATCTTCAGCAAGAAGAGCCCCCGCCCCGGCCTCTTCCCACCGAGCCGGACGGTCGGGAGCTTCCGCCGCCGGAGGGGGATGGCTCTCCGGCGAGGCGGCCAGCGCGATGCGGCGACCATGTGGGTGGTGGTGGTGGTGTTGGTGGTGGGATCTTGGTGAGCCATGTGTTGTGGGTGGTGAGTGGTTTTTCTGGCGGTGGGAGAGATTGAGAGGGTGGTTATATGGGAGGGTTGACTAGATGAGACAAACGCCTCTTTGGGTTGAATTATTCATTTCTTTATATTTTGCATGGGACCAAGTTAAGGGATAAGTTATATGCACTATGCATTAAATTTATTCCAGCATTATGCACCTAAAAAAACATCAAGATAATAAATTTTCTAGCGGATTTGCGTCACAAATTTGTGTAATTTTCATGGTATCAATCTTTGTGGGTGGTTTGTTGCTTTGTGGCGCCTGGTGTTTTCTTTTTCTTGTCTTATGTTTTGGCATTGGGGGTCCATGTGATATTTGGCAACTTTGGAGGTTACATTGCATAAGAATTATCGGCAAATAAACCGGAAGATAGGACGGAAATTTTCTTCTATTAATATTTTGAAAATAATGTCGACAATGATGGAGTCGATTGATCTTTATCTCTAGCTAGGGTTTCGTCACAACACATGCGTATAATCAAGACTTTGTGCATTGTTTAGAAACAGGATTAATGCATGCATAGCATTCGCCAATCCTTTTCTACCTGATATCCTCAGCTTTTAGGTCAAAAACCGCAAGAGTTTACTTTTCCTGGATTGATTGATGCATGGGTTTGCGTATATAGAATTTGAAAGTTCTACGCTTATGACGATGATATCAATACAAACGATCGGATAGAAATTGCGACTAATCTTGTTCGGTTGGACTTGTCGGAAGATATTTCAAAGATGTGTTTCAACCCCTTTTTGGTCAAATTGTGTTAATTTCATATTCGCCGTATAAGGCCCTAAACAATGAGGATTCTAGATTAGATGAGCGAGAATATTTGCATTTCATTATTATATGTTGAACGAATTCCTAACTCTTTAGAGTTTACATGCATCTAACTCGACACTGTTAACGATCTTTTTGGTGAATTTGATTTTTGATGACTCAACAGCTTTGTTGACGATTTGATCACCTCTTCTCTCTTGTCACAACAGGACATACAGATGCAGACATTTGGTCTGGCTAAGAATATGTGATGATCCAGCAAAGAATAATCATAACTTGCAGAGAAAACAAACAAGATCCGCTTAGGAGAGCAGCGACTCTTTTGCCAAAGTTTTCTTTAATAACACAGCGTAGAGTGAGGTGAGCAAAGACGGAGGGAGGTGCGAGTAGGACAAGGATGTGATTAAGTGTGTACTTAACCCATAAGTCAAGATTTAGCAATAATAGCTGTGAAATGACTTCTGCCCTTGTCTTTTTCTTTTCCTAACACAGATTTAATGCTGAGCATGACCAGCTAGATCCGCGTAGGTTTGGCATGTGGAGCTGGCCTTGCATTTAATCAAAGATTAAGAGTTGCGTCTTTCGCTTGAATGCTTAGGGTGGTCCTGCCTTGAAGACCGGTGAGCGAATAATTAATGCCCTAAAATGAGTAGTTTTGAGGGTGCCTCTAGTTTTATCTGCAGGAGTATTTCGAGGAAAAGATTCTTGATGGGGTTGGTCTTTGAGATAACTTGGATTATATTCATTAGGTGGACATGTGAGCTCTGCAGGTTCTGTGCCTTGGACTCTAATTAAAGCCTCGCTTACTTGAGCCATCAAGATCAGGAAACAAGGTCAAATACTACAGCAGCTTCCCATTGTTTTTTCCTTAAGGTTATACAAAGGTTGAGAGGAGATGGTTAAACTCGAACCCAATTCATAGCGTTTTGTGCGGACGTTGGATCGTGGGGTTTTGATGGTTTATAGCCTTGAGCTGATTGATCGGATCGAGCAAGTTACAAGCATGGAACTACTTCTGCAGCATGAGTTTTCCTACCTTTGGATGTGACCGAAATCTTTCTGATGAATCATGCGAACACTCGTTGTGAATCTTAACGAACATCCAAGCTCTAGCACTGAATGTTCCTGGACTGAATTTCTATACTCTTCTGCACTTTGTCTGTGTCGTGCATCGTCCGCTCACTAGAAAAAGTGCAGCACTTTGTCTGTGTCGTGCATCGTCCGCTCACTAGAAAAAGTGCAGCGCGACCGCGACTCTTGCGGAATTAGCGCTTTCTTTACTGGAGTCTTCCTAAAATACAACTCTAACTGCAGTTCTTTCTGTCTTCAGTTGCAATTGTAAGCAGTGTCACATCTATCCTGCTTAAACCTTTCATCCTTATTCCTAGCCTGCATTGCTCTTCCTTTGTCTGTTAATGTGACCAAGGATCATTAAAGCTTTATCCAGCACTTGATGCAAAATAGTTTTACAGATGAAGTTCCTATGTATGGGCAGAATTTCAAGGTCATTGAATCTAATAACTATTTATGAAATTACCAACCTTTATTGAGTGAGTTACCAATGTTTCTCCAATTAAATCACCAACTAATTTTAGTTACCAGCTCTCATGTGAGTTACTGACCAACTTTATTTGATCAAAAGTCCAGTTTTCATAACCATCGTAACTTGGTTTCGAAAGTGAACGTTGCTCTGCTTGAGAACTCAATGGGAAGGATAGTGAGCTAGATGCAGAGCATATCTACAAGAGTCTAAGTAGTAATCCAAAGTGAAGAAATAAATATCTCCTTGGGGCTAACATGACGCAATTCTTGTGGTGCGTGTATTTCACAGAAAATCAATAATTTAGAAAATATTTTCTTAAAAGTAATTGTTCGAATGTCTTGGAAAAATTAGTCAACTAAAAATGTTTTCTTTATCGTAATGATTGAAATATTTATCCTTAATTCAAGGAACGTTATAATTCATGGAAGTATTAAGGAGTGGATGAAAAGAGAGCTGTGATTTGATCCTTTCAAATTGATTCCTGGAAAGCCAAGGCAACATCAGGTCCAAGATTGTAATTCTGGACACAAGATATGTTGTTCTGTTTCATTTTATGCTTGTCGGGTTGATTCAAATTCGGTTATAATCCCTTTGTTTAGTTGACCGCTGCGGTTTGAATGCAAGAGCATCATCTGGACTATTTTCAAGTCTAGTTCCTCAATCTGATTGACACTGGGCTATTTGCACGAGGTTTAGAAGATCGGTAGAAGTTCATTCCTCATGGTTTAGTCCGAAAGGGATCAAGCCATGCTCGAAATCGGATCCTTAGTTGGTTGACACGAGAGATCTACCGCTTTACCACCCTTTGCGAACTGCAAAGTAGTCGCATACTGTCCAGAAAGATAATTCAGGAACAAAAGATGCTGGGCTTAGTATGATTCTTGGTATTGTATATTTCCTACTGCCTAATTTATCTCTAGAAGCTGACATGCCCTCTATGATTTTACTTCTCGGTGAAGCCTCAAAGTTCCTCGTGGATTTAGACACGTCTTGTAACGACCCGATCCGACGAGGGCGGGGAGTGGTTGCAGAGGCTAGAGGGTTTGGACTAGGAGCGGCTCTTGGCAGGCTTCTAGAATGACGAAGGGGTAGGAATAAACCGAACTATACACTGAACAGGAAGATAGCAATTCTGGAATATATATATATGAAAAACTAGAATTAACTCATGGAGCCACCTTTTGATGTAACGGCAAGCTTTGCTTTGGAACTTCAAAGCTAAGCGAGCCTTGGCCAGAGCATTATTAGGATGGGTGACCTCCTGCAAAAGTGTCTGTCTATACGCCAATGGATAAAACCGTGAGGCTCGGTATGGGACGTGTCAAAGCGGACAATACCTAAAGTGAGTTAAATCCAGGGCATCACACGCCTACCATCCGCCATCCCAGCTCTCTCCAATTGCGTGATTTTGCGATTTGACACAATCAATGTTGTGTTTGATTTTCGCATAAATTGTTGCTTAGCAGATCTCTAGGTCATCTGCAAAAGATGAATGCGCATCAAAAGTGGAATGCCGAAGAAGAAAACGTGGAAGAAGTTCAGCCATTCAAGATCAAGCATGCAAGCTCGATGGAAGCTAGAGGTTCATCTTACAGATGAAGTCGCAGTAACTGTCTGAATCGGGCAAAAGCGAAGAAAGACGAACATTACAGTGTTGATTTCAGCACACAAAGTGATGTTTTCTGCTCCGGCATGTTATTTCAAACCAGGCTAATGTAAACAAACACACCAGAAACAAACTAGGGAACTCCGAATCCAAGCCTAGAGTCTTTGAGTTTTTACAGGAGGCTATCATGATTTCAGTCGTTAAACATAACATAACCCTTCGAGAATCGCCAAGGAATTTCTGCAACATATCCGCCTACGGTGCGCTCGATCCAATTTTTGAGGCTCTAGTACAGAGACAGTAGTGTCTTTGTGGATTACATAGATTCCACAAGCTCCTGACGCCACCTGACAGCGATCGGACTCCTCACTCGGTGAGTCCCATCTGTCCACTCGATCGATCCAAATCTTGGAGTAGACAATCCCGACACGATGCTGGAGAACGTAATCTCATAGGAAAGTAACTGGTTTTCTGCAGAAAATGCGAGCTTGCTCGGTGAAACACTGACTCCAACATTTTCAGGAGCATTCACTTTCACCTCATAAACTGCATCAGCACAACTCCCGACATTTTTTACCACCCTCCTATACTTCACGACATCGCCGTCGGATTTTAGGACGACTGAGAAGGATGGATAATTCAATTCTCCCGGAGAAGCCATTCTATGCGCGCAAATGTTAGAACTCGTAGGCTCTCTGAGGAAGACCGCAATTCTCCGTGGTTCATAACCGATGGCACAGAGAAACCCCACGTAGTCATCAACATCGATGTCGTAAACCAATCCAGGATTAAGTGCCCTGTTCGGATCCACATGTCCTGCTCCGTGAACAAAAGGGCTGGATTTGTCGCCGCTAGCAAGATCCTTAATGTTACTCCCCGCATTATCCAAGTTATAAGCAGTTGTCATCAGTGCAGATTTTATCGCTGCTGGAGACCAATCGGCATAAGCCTTCCGAAGCAGAGCAGCTAATCCACTAGCATGGGGGCATGACATTGAGGTGCCTGAGATGATGTTGAACTCGACCCTTCTCAGGTCGATGTCAAGATCTGTGGGGCCATTCAACCCGGTCCAAGCCGCCAAAATATTAACGCCTGGAGCTATAACATCTGGTTTAAGGATCTCAGCAGTGAGATGGTTCGGGCCACGGCTAGAGAAAGCAGCAACTTTTGGAGCAGGCGGTGAGGGACCGATCACCGTGCCATGGAATTCGATAGCTGCTGTTGGGAATTGGTCCAACTTGGCATACTCTCGGATCTTATCTGCCGCAGTCTCGCCCACCATAGTGGCGGGTATGAGGTGCGAATCGGCAATCAATTCTTCTCCACTCTCTTCAGTATTGGCAAGAATCATTCCCAAGCCGCCCGCGAGCTTCACCGCACTTCCCTTGGCAACTCTTGCATTTCCTCCTCTATCACAAATGACAATCTTTCCTGCAACCTTGGTGGAATCGAGGCTGCCATCATAGCAATACCGACTCCCGCAGTCACCGGCATAGACCAAAGGAAGTTTAGTGTCGCCGATAGGCTCACCAGAGTAAAGGGACACGCCCTTAAAGATCCTCCCATCACCAAGAACCACATCAGCGGGGAACTCCCTATCAATTGTGGAGGCGCCCACGGTCAAAATCCAAGGAGCAATGTTCACAGCTGTGAAAGGGCCGGGACCGGAATTCCCAGCAGAGCAAGACACAAGAACCCCATGTTTCACAGCCCCAAATGCACCGATCGCGATTGAGTCATGATCGTACTGCGGCGCGTACCCGTTCGCGCCCACGGATAAAGAAATTATGTGCACACCATCCGAAACAGCCCGATCCATGGCTGCTAATATATCTGAATCGAAACAACCCAAGCTCCAACATATCTTATAAGCAGCAATTCTTGCTTTAGTGGCCATACCTCTAGCTTCACCCACCGCATACTCGTAAAAGCTCGCGTTCGAAACCATGGCACCCCCGGCCGTCGACGAGGTGTGCGTGCCGTGACCCTCCGTGTCCCTCGGCGATTTCGACTCTTTCGACTCATCAATTGGCCTCTGCAAATAGGCCTCGTACCCTTTGTAAAAGGCCCTCGCGCCAATGATCTTCCGATTGCAGGCCGAGGCAGGGAAGTCCCGCCCGACCTCACACGCGCCTCTCCACGTGCCGGGGACAGGGCCGAGGCCAGAATCGGAGAAGCTCCGCCGCTCGGGCCAGATCCCGGTATCAAGAACCCCGATTATGATGTCGTCCGCATAATCGGAATTCGGCCAAAGGCCGGTGCTCTCGGTGAGGCCGAGGAAGTGAGGGGTCCGGGTGGTGTGGTGGTGGCGGATGCGGTCCGGGATGACGGAGAGGACCCCGGGGGCGCGGCGGAGGGCCTCGGCTTGGCGGGCGGTGAGGCGGGCGGAGAAGCCGCCGGCGGCAGCTCCATAAGTGTAGAGGATCTGGGAAGGAGGGTCTGAGGGTGGGAGGGAATGGAGGAGGGAGGAGTACCAGTGATGGTGGGTGGAGAAGAGGGAGGGCTTGTGGGAGGATGAGGCATGGATGATGAAGGTCTGCTGGGGGCCGTGGGGTGTTTGCTCTTGTGGGGTTGAGAGGGATGGGGAGATGAAGAGCAGGAGGATGAGGAAGAAGGTGGAGGAGGAGGAGTGAGAGAGATTGGCCATTGATAAAGATGACTATTCCTCAGATATTGGAGGAACAACAATGGTCTCCCTGAAATTCTGAATCTTTCTTGGGGGATGAATGGGGGTGGGTGGCAATTGGACATGGGAATCTTTTTGCAGTAAATCAGGTCCACATCAGCATGGATGGATGGAGCCGGTTTCTGCAACTATGTTCATCATGTTTTTTTCTCATTCCCTGTTTTGGTTTCATGTGAATCATGATGACTCAGGTGCATCTCCCAGCATCAGCACTTGCTGTCAGAGTGGCATGGATCCCACAGGCCAATGAAATGGGGCTCTTATGGGACCCAGATGGGTAGTGGGAGCCATTTCTTTTTTGGTCTGTTGGCCAATGGGTTGCTGACACCTCATCATGGAGCTATTCTTTGATAATTTCTCTTTCCTTCATTATTATTACAGAAGATAGGATCAGTCTGCAGGAATGCATTATGGCTTTCATGGACAAAAGGTCTAGCAAGTTTTGCTAGATAATGAGCGTACAGAGACATAATAAAATAATCTCAATTGCTTATAAGTATCTTGCATTTCCCTTTGAAGTTGGCTCATCATGGGCTCATACGGTTAAGCTTAACCATTGGGCCGCTTGAAGATGGATATTCTCATCGATCCAAATCTTACCACATAAAGTAACAAAAAAAAATTCTAAATTTATTGCTAATTCAATTTTAAACCTTTCAATTGTTTCAATCGAATCCTAAAATTTTTAACGATTTGTCTATATAATCTATCCGGCCAATTTTAATCGAGAATCGCAAAAATGAACATTGACCATCCTACGTCAGACAACTTTTTAATTTTTTTCTTTTTCTTTTCTTTCCTTTCTTTTTTTCCCGACAATCCTCACTGGCCACAAACAAGGTCTAGGCAAGGGCATCAAGCCCTCACCCAGATCCAAGAGAGGACTGTCACCCACTCTTGTTGGCCAGCAAGGGCAGCAATGCCCTCGCCTGCTTTGGGTGAGGGGCTTTAATGTCCTCACCGAGATCTAGGCGAGGGCCAGACGCCCTCGTCGGCCAACAAGCGAGGGTGTTGGCCCTCCCTTGGATTTGGGCGAGGGCCCGATGCCCTCGTTTGAGGCCGGCTAGGTCGCTGGCTCTCGCTTGTGACCGGTGACCTCGCCGGCCTAGAGTTGTAAAAAAAAAACAAAGGAAGAAAAGAAAAGAATTAAAAAAACCAAAAAAAAATTAAAAAATTGCAAATCTTATCCACGGCAGCACCGATAGTGCCATGTAGGACGACCGTCATTCATATCAACGATTTCCGGCCAAAATTGGCCGGATGAACTACATTGGCAAATCGTCAACAGGTTTAAGACTTAATTTGTACAATTGAAATGTTTAAAACTGAATTGGCATAAGTGTAATAGGTTTATGAATTATTTGTTACTTTTCCCGACAAACGGACATGATTCATTATTCTTCTCTCTTCTTTAATGGAGCGCAAATGGGCTTGTTTTAGGATAGTCAAAACTTAGAAATCTCATCGAGACCAATTTTTTCCTCCGCTTAGATTATAATCTTCCTGGTAAATACTCAGTCTCGATCGCGGCACCACCGCATGAGAAGCATCCCTCAGAGAGAATTTAGCAGTTCCCATCGAAGTCAGAACATGCAATGCATAAGAAGGAAAAAAGGGCTGTCTTTGATTATAGTTATTCCAGGTCTAGAATTGATGAGTTGACCATCACCTGCTCCACCGTCCAGGAAAATTGAGAGTTATCTGTGTCTTATCGGGTAGGTGGGCAGATCTTTTCCTGGAAAGTGGGAAGATGAGGCCAGGAAATCTGCCTCCATGTTCTTTAATTTCCTCAGTAGGCAACAATGACCATTTCAAAAGAAAACGACACCTCGTTTTCTAATCTTACATTCTCTGTCAGCCTTGCTGGAGCTCATATCTTCACCTAAATAGCTAATATTACACATTCATTTCCTTGTGCCATTACATCAGGGTGGACTAGTAGTTGTCCAGAATTAAAGCTCTTAGGCTGCATTTGGTCGACCGGATAAAAGCCAAGATATGATATGATCATATCCTGTGTTTGGTGGTGGTCCAGGATAGGATAAGGTCGGATATAGACCGGATATAGCCCGGATAAAACAATCCGAGGGGAGGTGGGATAGATTTGGATAGGATTTCTAATGCTTATTTTTCCAGAAACCCTACGCTCCACTCGCTGTCATCTTCATCCCCACACCTTGTGCGCTTTCACCAAAAAAATTTCTCGGCTTTTTTTCCTTCACTTACTCCTCCGGACCCGTGAATAGCAAAAAAAATTTTTTTATCCTATCCGACTTTAAATCCTTAGTCCACCAAACAGTGGATAGGATATGAATAAATCCCAGAATTTCTTATTCTATCTTATCCAGTCCTATCATGTTTAGAAATTCGGACAACCAAACACAGCCTTATGATTTTGCTCATAAGGAGAAGCAAGACCAAGAAAGTTGATCAAACAAATTTCTTGAGTACTTTCTTTTTTGTCTTCGCTTGAGAGCAACTGAAATACTTTTCTTTTTCCTTCTAAAGATCGACAAGAACTGATATTTTCGCTTTTTCAGTCTCGAATCGAAAGAACTACAGCGCCTCATATTTGCGGGTTCCAATCAAAATGGAAAGCTGAGTTGGAAACGTTAATTAGAAGCATTTTCCCAGGAAAAAACAGTGATATAGAGAAGACCTTTTCGATCTTCTTTTCCACTTGACCTCGATTGCATTCGTGATAACTAAATTTCCAGGAAATGATAAGGTCCCGTTTTTTCTTCAGTTCAGCATCAGCAGTTTCATGGCAATGTACAGCCATCCCAAGTTCTTGTGTACTCATGAAGCCCTCAAACCAAACGATGAAACATCTACCAAGGAAAATCATGGTCATGTTCTCGGATTTTCCAGTTATTTATATACATGCTCACCCTTTTGTTTACTTTCCTCTTTTATTTTTGGATTTTTAACAGTTCTCTGCTTCTGAGTACATGATACTGATATCCACCAAACCACTACATTGAACAAATCTTTCCTTTTTCTTGAACTCTGTTTCCCTTTTGTTGCTATACCTATCACATATTATATGAATCATACCCAAGTGGACCTATTTTTGAAGTCTCCAATTCATTCCTTTAAGATTGGACCAATGTGCGAACACCAGGGATTTTTGTCAAGTTCCTAGAAGGGCTTCCAGGAGCCGATCTCGACTCCAAACCCCTCTTCAGGATCTGCCTCACCGCAGATATCAGAAGCACCGTCGGATTCGGAGGCGGCCCCGTCGAATCACTAGACCTCTTGCAAAAACTCCTCAGCTTGGCCATTGCTTCTTCAGTGCCAACAGCCTTCTGGCTCTCGTTGTCCCTGAGGATTTCATCTTTCACGGCCTCGGCGCACAGCCCGCATATCCATTTCCCATTGTGGCGCTCTCGGACACACTCTATGTAGGCCGGCGTGCACTCCTCAGTGAGGCCGCAGCAGTCGCATACAGCAATTGAGGACTCCGGATCGATATTGGGAACGGGCATAGATGATTGTGTTTCCAGGGCCAGTATGATCACGGGGTCGTGAAACACGGACGTGGCCATCGCCGGATCAACTCCCGTGCTCAAATGAAGGAGCACAATCGCCTGTAAATGCGATAACTCGCAATCAATAAAAACCGATGCCAAGACCCGGTTTCTGAGCTGTTCAATCAAAGATTGATTGGCCTCTCTATTTCTTTCTCTTCTTTTTGCTTTTCCTTGCCCATAAAAATGGATATTAATGAGACCAAGTGAGAACAGAAGGCTTTCACTTGCGCCGCTTTTTAATCCATTAATTACAAAGTTCACATGATTTGAGAAATAAGAAATCGACTCCAGGAAAAAGATGCTGTCTCAATTCTCGGTTCATTGGTTCAAAACATAATTTGGGGAAGCCAAAAGGACAAAGGCTTGCCAATTACTAAGGAAATACTCAAAAACTTTTTCACAAGGCATCCTGCAGAACTCGGCGTATGAACAAGATGACACAATCAACAGAACAACCCAGTAATCGAACAGAGCCTGCGATGAGAATTACCTGCAGAAACAGATCGAAACACGGATACGAGACGACTGCCTTCTACCTCTCTTTCTCCCACTCCCGATCTTGAACAATCGCTTCTTCGGCAATAAAAAACTCGAACATCGAAACCGAAACCATTTCGGAAACTCCCCTCTTGTTTTCCTCTGTAAAGTCACGCTCTTCCTATTGATGTTGGGCAAATTCAAGAAAACCAAATTTTGCTATTACTAGAGAGAAGAGAGAGATTGGTTTTCTCTTGTTCTTTTTGGGTCCTCAAAATTTCTGTACGTGGAGGCTTTATATATTGGAGGACAGTTCAAGATCTTGGATTAGCGTAGGGAGAGAGATCTCGCAGATTTCAGGGAAAGAGGGCATGGTCATTATAAAAAACTGAATGATTAGATTTGGAAAATTATGCAGATCGACAGTAATGACAGAATCCACGTCAGATCTGACATTACAACAGCTGTATTGCCAGCACAGCTTAATCTTAGCTGACCTGTTCTAAACTACCGTGTCTTGGACCGGACAAGTTAATCGATTCCTACTAACATGGAGACGGGCCATACGTTATAAAGAGGAGGACAAATTAGAATTTCGATTACGAAGGAGAGAAGATCACGACGCGTAAATAAATCGCGACTATAGTTCACATTTATATATTCAGTACTATTTTTCTAAACGATATAGCGAGTCGGCCTATGGGAATATCTGAATATTCCCAAATATGAATTCGGAGGTAATAGGCACACCTATGAATATTACCGCAATGGTAACTTTTGTATTGTTGACCTACCGACGAACAAATGAAATCTATGGAAAATTAGAGAAAGTCAATCTCTTGATAATATTTATTCCATTATTCTTTTCTCATTCAAATTCTTGGCTTTTTCTCTTGAACCTTCTCCACAAGAGAACGAAACGTCGGGGCAAAATAAACATGATTTTACTTATACTTGCGTAACGATCTTCTTGTGCAAAATCGTGAGGCCCAATTAATTAACAAAAAGAAAAATTACAATTCTTCATGAACTATTTTTTTAAATTTATTACCATGTGTATAGTAAAAAATAAAATAAAAAAAGTTCAATGCTCAACAAGCCCAAAAAATGCCCCATGTAACAATCTCCTAGACGTTCGACCGCTTCCGCCATGGCATAGCTAGTTCCTGTACCTTCTCAATTTGTTCGATCTCGTCCAATTATTTTGAATTTATGAAAACACCATATATTGTTACCTTCAGCTAGGGCTGACAAAATTTTGTGACTATGATTTAATGAGCCCAATTTGGTATGAGTAACTCGTTTTTTTCAAATAGGCTAAATTGGGTTGAGAAAAATTAGAGCCCAAAAAACGTGTCATAAATGGATCACTTAGGGTCTATTTGATAACGTTTTTGTTTCGGGGAACAATTTTTGTTCAGAAATAGTTATTTCTATTTCTATTCCTTGGACGAGTTTCCGAGCAGAAGAACATATTTGGTAACTGCACAAAATTTCTATTTCTGAGATAGAAAAAGAATAAAAATGGGTTTGGTATGACCCTAAAAATTTATAGTTTCAATTTTTTCATTTAATTATAAAAATGCCGGTGGAGACTTAACAATTCATGTTTGGATAGAACTTGACTAGAAATAGAATTAGAATATATTATGATATAGAATTGGATTACTTTAATACAAACATAAAAAAATTATTCCTTATAGACAAAGTAAATACCGGGTGGTGATCAAGGAAATTTCAATTTAGAGTTTAAGGTTTGGGTTTTAGGGTTTATGGTTTTAGGGTTTAGGGTTTCGGGTTTGGGATTTAGGGTTTAGTTTTTCGGGTTTTGGATTTTAGGGTTTGGGTTTTGGGGTTTTAGAGATTCGCGTTTTATGGTTTCGGGTTTGGGGTGTTGGGGTTAGGGTTCGGGGTTTTGTGGTTTTGGGTTTTAGGGTTTGGGGGTTTAGGGATTCAGGTTTTATGGTTTTAGCATTTAGGGTTTGGGTTTTGGGGTTTTGGGTTTTATGTTTAGGATTTTAGGGTTTGGGTATTAAGGTTTGAGGTTTTGGGGTTATGATTTTAGGTTTGGAGTCGTGGGTTTTAAGATTTGGGGTTTAGAGTTTAGCATTAGAATATCTTGTGAAAGAGATAGAGAAAGCTGATCTTATTCTCTATTGTTTCTCTTTTTTGTTCTCTTGAACACAAAAGTAGATTTTTTTACTTCTTATTTCTATTCCAAATCTATTCTTTAGCCACTTTTTTAATTCAGGGAATAGAAAAATTAACTGACGTTACCAAATAAATTTCTGTTCTTTTTCTAATCGAGGGAACAAAAGAAAAAAAAAACAGAGAAACAGAAACGTTACCAAACAAGCCCTTAGGTAGCGAATGATAACCATTCTGTTCCAGAATGAGTTCCTGAAACAGAAATAGATTTTTCTATTTCTGGTTCCAGGATGAGTTTTTGAGGAAAAAAACCCGTTTGATAACGACCAAAAATTTCTATTTTTAGAACAGAAACCCGTTTGATAACAGCACAAAATTTCTATTTCCTTAAACAAAAACCTATTTGATAAACAATAGAAAATTCTATTTCCAGCAACATAAATCCATTTTTTTAGAAATGGAATAAAAATAATTAAAAAAATCCGAAAAATTCATAAAAATCTAAAAAAAATTCAGAAAATCCAAAAAAATTGAAAATTCCCAGAAAAAATCATCAAAATGTCGAGAAAATGAAAAAAATTCAGATTTCGGGAAAATAGGAAATTTGTTGAATTTTTTCAAAAAAAAATTAAGAAATCAAAAATTTCAAAACTTCACAGAATTGCTTAGAATACCTGTAGCCACCCACTTTGAGTAAAATTTAAATTTTCTGAGGTGCCCAAAAAAAAAAAAGATTTCAAAATTTCACAAAATGGCTTAGAATACCTGTGGCCACCCACTTTTTGAGTAAATTTTAATTTTTTTGAGATGCCCAAAATTTTTTTTTTAAAATTAAAAATTTCAAAACTTCACAGAATGGCTTAGAATACCCGTGGCCAACCATTTCGAGAGAAATTTAATTTTTTTAAGATTTCCAAAAAAAATAAAAAAAATTAGAAATTTCAAAACTTCATAGAATGGCTTATAGAATACCTGTGGCCACCCATTTTGAGCGAAATTTAAATTTTTTTAGGTTCCGAAAAAAAAATAAAAAGTGAAAAATTTCAAAATTTCATAGAATGTCTTATAAAATATCTGTGGCCACCCGCTTTAAGAGAAATTTAAATTTTTTTAGGTGCCAAAAAAAATAAATAAAAAATAAAAAATTTCAAAACTTCACAGAATGGCTTAGAATATCTGTGGCCATCCACTTTGAGCGAAATTTAAATTTTTTTAGGTACAAAAAAAAAATCAAAAATTTCAAAACTTCACGTAATGGCTTAGAATACTTCTAGCCACTCACTTTGAGTGAAATTTAAAATTTTTGAGATACCCAAATGGTATTTTTGATTTTTTGCACGCTCACCTCACCTCCCATCTTTGTCCCCTTCTTTATTATATAATAATGGCGAACGTCTTTGGCCCATTGCCCCTTCTTTTTCCACGGAAATTTCTAAATTGGACAAATAGCGTGCACCTCCTCCTCTTTGTTTTTTTTTTTAACCACTTAATGTTGTAAACATAAACACGTTGTAAAACAATTTATGACACGTGTTTTCTTCGTTACGACGGCGCTTGCTAATACTGTGTAAGGTGGCATCGGGGGAGCACCATAATCATCTACGGTGCGACTTTCTCTTTTACATCTTGCACTTAACCACGATGTATTGATACTTAACCACGATGGCTCGTCCTAAAGTCGGTACGGTACGTCGATTATGCGTAAAAATGCCCTGACATTTTGGCGAAACTTTTGATTACCAATACTTATTTCCGTTCCTCTTTCAGTTTCTTACTCCCTTAACTGGTAGACAACAGTTGACCAAAAGAAATGGTAGACAACACGTGTCACAGGGCGAATGGTATTGGAATATACGTACGTGGTACATTGGATGGACCCAGTATTTTCTCCTTGTCTAATATCAAGTCAATTACATGTTATCACATTTTAAAAAGAACCTTTTCTCTTTTGACCCTGAGAAGCCATCCGCCCAAAAGTTCATCAACGTCATAAGCACGTGTTCCGAAGACAAGAAGAAACCATCCTAAAAGATTAAGTCAACTGAATGTGCATGCTTGGAATAAGCGTACTTTTACCATATTGCGCCGTGTCTCTAACAAATTCAATCTATGCAGCCATTGGCCCATATAGTCACCTTCCACACTCAGTTCCATTGAGCCCGGCGGATCTACAACTCAGGAAACAGAAGCCTTACCAGAGTGTCCTCATTTGATTACAATGTGATACTTGAACGGCCTGTTCAGTTTCGATCCAGTTTATATTAACTAGGATGGCCAAACACAAAACTAAGATAAACTCTTTTAAGAAAAAAAAAACTCCACTTATATAAATCAAAAGAATGTCCGAATCCACTTGAATACATTGCTATCAACAATGACAGATCCCATTGACATTGGGAAAAATCATCAAGAAAATGGCCTCAAGCACCAGGCTACAAGCTCGAAACATGATCAGAAGCAACATCCGACCGGATCCCGGAATTCTCGACATTAAACGCAAAAGACTCTGCCAACTCAGCAGCATTCTGGACCCTAAGCCGGGTGCCCTGTTGCCCGACGACTGTGGATGCAACCCTTGCAGCTAAGGCGCCAATGCCTTTCAGATCAGATGCACCCCGCAAAATCCCATACAAGACACCCGAGGCGTACGCGTCCCCAGCTCCACAAGTATCCACCGGGATGCATGGGGAAGGAGGGATATAGATTGCTTCTCCCTTCACACCGAAATAAGAGCCCCGGGGGCCATCTGTAACCGAGACTAGTGGGACAAAATGGCTCAGGTACCTTGTAGCTGAGACAGGACTTTCCTTTGAGGAAAAGTGACAAAAAGCTCGAGCTTCTTCACTATTTGCAAACACGATATCTGCATACTCTCTAACAACTTCCCTGCATGGAGATGTCCGCATCTATATCAGGCACTAAGGATAGAATGTGCGAAACAAAGAAACACATTTAGCCAGTTTACCTAATCTACCATGACCACTGATGATTAGATTTCATATAAAACGCTACTTAATTGGCAACAAGCTCAAAATTGGGGGGGAAAAAGTTGCTCCGACAGTTCCCCAGTCCTTAGTTGTTGGAAAAGAAAGTTCCTCCGACTCCCTCAAGAAGGATGGGAAACTGTCTGTGTGGAAAACCCAAAAACAACTAAAAGGACGAGCAAATACGAACAGCTTTCATGGGTACATTCTTCAAACATAAGATGCCAGAAAAATTTCAAGATAGCTAATAGAAGGTCAATAAAGCAAGTGAATTTACCAGAAATCATCGTAGTGATTCTCGATGCATGATCCATCAGAGGCAGTCATTGCAACTAAAGCACCACCCCTGCGTGCTACTTCACATGCTTTTACTATGGTTTTGATGGTATCTGGGAGTTCAAATAAATAACCTTCAACGATGAGGACATTTGTTTTGGAAACCATGCCAGCCAGGGATGAATCATAGTTAACAGAGGACGACGTGCCCTGACCACATAAAAAGAAAGGCAATAGTAAAGGAGCGATTTCCATCAGCAGCACACAAAACGAGATCCAAATCCAGGAAATAGCTCTAAACAGTACATGGAACACTGCGCAGGATAAATAAGACAACTTTACAAGGCCCTTCCAGAGCTCATACAAGTTAGATTTCTGCCAGCTGAAATCCTAAACTCAAAAATCCATCTTCTGATGATTCGACAGCAAAAGGAAAAGACCCTGCACAAAATGAATAGCACCATACTTTGGATGCTCATGGTCTTGGCCAGTGCCCACAATCTCCAGAACAACAAACAGGATATTCCCTTATGCCTTAGTTACGTGTCATCTCAAAAACAAAATCATTCTTCTTGAAGTAGTGCTGCATAGTAGATTATGCCTCATCTTAATAGATCTTACAACTAAGACTCAACCCATCAAAAAAAAAGGGGGAAAAAACCTCCATGGAAATGGTGAAATGCTGGCGGTCGACCTGGGCGACGGCAAACTCGACCGGCGACCATGGCGAGGCCGAAGCTGACCCCCCGATCACGGCGACTTCCAAATCCAGAAAAGAGAGAGATGAGAGGAGATCCAGCGCAGGATCGGAGCTTACGTGGAGCAGGAGAGAGCGAACGAGTGGCCCTGGCTTCCTCCGGCCGGAGCGAGCGAGCGAGCGGCCCTGGCTTCCTCTCGACGGCGACAGAGAGAGAGTACAGAGAGAGACGGGCTTCCAGATCAGAGAGATGAGAGGAGACGAGAGACAGACATGTTTTTTTAAGAAATGAATCTGACCTTTGTTCCTCAGAAATGGTTCTGAGTTTTGTTCAAGAAATGAAAAATCAACTTTTTTTTGGTTCTGATTTCTGGTTCAGAATCGGTTCTGGACCAAAAACTCGTCCCAGAAATAGAAAAATGAAATTGCGTTAACAAATGAATTTCTGGTCCAAAACTGATTCTGGGAACAAAAAATTAGTTCTGGACTGAACCAGAATGGTTATCATGCGGTTTAGTGACCCATATTTTAACCCATTTTTTCAAAACTCACACCCACTACGCACCCGAAGCCATTGCAGGCTTCGCTTCCTTTCACTTTGACTTCGTCTCCATTTCCTCCTTCTTCATCAAGGAATCGTTTTCTAACTGTTGTTGCATCCATAGCTGATGCGCCTCCGCCGACCGTGCTCATCACCAGCGCTGGTGGTCGAACCGGTGAGGTTCTCTTTTGTTTACAATGTTTTTTTTCTTCTTTTTGATTTTTGAGTTCTCCCGATTACTTCCTCTGTTTATGCTTCTCTAAAGAAAAGAGAAGCACTATGAGTTGAACAACCCGAAGCACGACTTTGCACGCACGGGTAAGAGATAGGGCAGAAGGTGGAGGAGGCGGTAATGATTTCCTCTCTCCATAACCACTAAAAATTGTTTGAGAGAGTGACGAACACAGAGAGGAAGAATTGGTTCTGGAAAGGGCATTCTGTTTTCTCGAAGAGGAAGGAGGCAACACACAGAGAGGTGCAGGAGAAAAACGAAATATGGGGAAGAAATTCAAAGATTAGCTTTCCAACCCTTAGTGTAGCCGAGAAACATCCTTCATCACCAACCATTGCTGCCTCTGTGATTTCCAGTCAAGTACTTGTTTGAAACTCGCTAAGCTCTGTCTATCATCTCTTCGTTGAGATTGAAAGCTTCAACGGGTTGAACCTCAGTTGAAGATTCGAAGTGCTTAGATATCTCTTGAGCTACTCTTGCGAGCTTTGACTTCAATTAGTGACTTCATAGAAGCCTTGGTCGTTGGTCCAATTACCAGTTGTTACTTCGTCTTGCTCTATTGACCATGAAATGATCTGCTTGGATGTTGCTTATTGTTGTTGCTATTGCTAGTGAAGTGATATAGTTCATAGGCATTGGAATAATTTTTGGATGACACCCAGTTCATGGGTGATTATGATTTACTGAATTTGAGCATGTTGTCAGCTAGTAGAATTGGTAAGAAAGGGGTTTCTTGTGGCTACTTATTGGAGGTATGTGGTGGGCTTTCGTAATTGTCCTTACTTTACCTGATATCACCAAACCAATCTACCAAATGCCGATACCATGTTGGCGTGCTCCATGATGTCACCTATACATGGAAGGCTTTCTCCATTTGATTCTGCTAAATACCCCATTTGTCCTAAATTCGGAGCCAAACATTGATCGGTCTGGTAGGGAAGAGTTCTTACAAGCAAATGTTATTTTCATGTCAATGGTTAGCTATTCAAACTTTCTCTTATCAAGAATTCTTTATAAGTATTTCAATTTATAAGTTTTTTACAAATTTTATTGTATTTACTTTTTTTTTTATCATTTAATTTACGGTTTTAATTTGATGTGAAGATTTTATCTAAGTTACATAAACGCGTGAAGAGTTTAAAGTGTGTTAAATGAGTGGGTATGAATTTTCTTAAATTGAGTTAAATATTAATGTGTTTTGGTAATATAGGGTGGGTCGAACACAAGTACAGGTATGAGTTGGGTATGGATCATTAAATTTACATTTTATGAAAATTGATCAAAACAGATTAAATAGATCAATATTGATCGAGCCATTTTTTATCCGACCTACTCATTTGACGGTCCTACCTTAAGCATAGATTGAATTTGGCCAAGGCCATAGTCTACTTACTCTCCCATCACTCTCCACCACAAAAAATAAAAATAAATTGTTTTCGTCTAGATCTTTTGAAGAGCCTTTATGAGATCCACTAGTCTGTGTACTTCTTCCACACATAGAATCTAAGGACTCTCATAAATGAGAAGAATATCAAGCCCAAGAGAGTGGCGGAGCACAGAGATGACCCCATCTAGTCATGATCACGGTTCGGAACCGACCGGTTTCGATTCGTGGCCAAGTATGAACCGGACGGTTCCGGGCCGGTTCCGATTCTGGTTCCAGTTCAGGTTCGGAACCGGTCGGTTCGGAACCGGTTCCGGGCCGGTTCAGGTTCGGAACCGGTCGGTTCGGAACCGGTTCCGGGCCGGTTCAGGTTCGGAACCGGTTCCGGGCCGGTTCATAATTTTTCTTTTCTGTTTTTTTCTTTTTCTTTTCCTTTTCTTTTTTTTTTTCTTTTCTTCCTCCGGCGGCCATAGCCGGGGCCGGCGGAGGTCGCCGGCCTCCGGCGAGGCCGCCCGAACCGGCATCGGGCGAGGCCGCCCTCGCCGCATCGGCGAGGGCCGCCTCGCCGCATCGGGCGAGGGCCGCGTCGCTGGGCCGGGCGAGGCCGGCTCGCAGATCGGGCGAGGGCTCGACCTCGCCTACAACCGGGCGAGGCCGGCCTCGCCCGACGCCGGCGAGGCTCGACTCGCTCGCAGAACCGGGCGAGGCCGGCCTCCTAAGGCCGGCGAGGTCGAACCCTCGCCGGATCGGCGAGGCTCGACCGCCGGCTGCCGGCGAGGCCGACCTCGGCGCAACCGGGCGAGGCCGGCCGCCTCGACGCCGGCGAGGCTCGACTCGCCTCGCAACCGGGCGAGGCCGCCGCCCGACGCCCGGCGAGGTCGAACCCTCGCCGGATCCGCAGCCTTCTTCTTCTTTTTTTTTTTTTTTTGAACCGGGCCCGGAACCGACGGTTCCGGGCTGGTTCAAAAATTTCTGGAACCGGAACCGGGCCCGTAGGGCACGGGCCGGTTCCGGTTCCAAACCGCGGGCCCGGTCAACGGGCCGGGCCCGGGTTTGACCGGGCCGGTTCCGGGCCGAAACCGGCCCGTGGCCATGACTACCCCCATCAGGTGGTTAATAGTCCATTATCAGCTGAAATCAATTGAGATTTCACATATTAATTTGAATTGATAGTAAGAAAATGATTTATGACACTCCATGAGCAAATCATAAATCATTTTCTAGAAATTAATGTTGCTTCTTGTCTTAGTTTCGTCACTAACATTTCACAATCAATAGAAAAATGCACGATCGGCCCGTGTTATTAGAAATTAATTATTAAATTTCAAGGGCACGATTTTGGGTAAAAGTCGTTTTTGCGTATTTTTACGATGATGGCTTGATTATGAAAATTAGAATGATTCAATTGATTATTTCGCAATTGGTGATGGGATTGATATTAATAGTTTCCATCACATCTTCATATTGTCGCGGACTAAGGTAGATATATCAAACTGGAAACAGATGGAATTGACCTTAATGTAACACACAAATCACAAAAGGGCTTGTTGTTAGGAGGATTGCAATTCCATATTCTAAGTATCTGCTAACGGAAAGAATGTACAACTGTGTCAAATTATTTTATCATTGTTTAAAATTAATTTTTTAAAATAAATATTGACAGATAAGTCAACGGCTATCTTCTTACTTGAAGGACGCGGCCTCTCAAATAACTAGCATATATAAAACTGTTAAGTGGCAAGCTAGTTACATGGTCCAGAGTTTCAATGTTGAAATATAGTTCGGTGAATAATTCTAATTTCTTCTAAGCAAATCGGGCAATCACATTGCACATGCACAAACCATGCACGCGAACAAAAATATCCAAATGCAGTTATAATATATGTAAATGACCATAGATGAGGTATATCATTTCAACATAGCTTTTGTTTATCAGCATCACTTATTTAATCAATGATATTAAGGCAAGCATCAATTATTCAGTTTAGTGGTCAATCGGGATATTTGTCCCAAAAGTTCTAAACCTATTATATGGTGACTAATTTAGTTATAAACTTTATAATTTAGCCAATTTAGTTATACAATTTTTGACTATTTTTCAATGTAGTTCTTTTGGCCAATTTTGGCTGGGAATTGTTGATGCGGATGTTGGTCATTTTACGTGACATGGCCAACGCTGACATGAATGATTTTTGCAATTTTTTAAATTATTTTTCGATTTTTTTTTTCAAAGAAGGAAAAAAGAAAGAAAAATGAACGAAGAAAAGGAAACTAAGGAAAAATTTTGGAGAAAAAATAAAAAAAATTGTAAAAATCATCCATGTGAGCCGTCGACTGTTCCACGTAAAACGGTCGATGCTGACTGGACCGCCACTTCAGTGTTTTTGGCCAAAATTAGCCGAAAAGGTCACATTAAAAAATCGTCAAAATGTTTAGAACTAAATTGAAAAGTTTCGAATTGAATTGGCCGTAATACAATAAGTTTAAGATTTTTGGACAATTTTCCTGTAGTCAATCTAGTGCTCTTTCTCAAAATTATGGCCATACTTGATATCTAGTGATAAGGTTTACCGATTCTCCCTTGACATAAGTTCCCCGCCTCGGCTTGGCCTAAACGAATGTCCTTGAACAGTATCCATACTCTTTAAGTATGTGCTTGGTTCAGCTTGTTAAATCTATTAAAAAACTTCCCAAAAACTTAATGCTTTGTCCGGAAATCTTTGGAGGAAAATAACATAAAAATGTATAGAAAATGGATGCATAAAAAGGAATCCAGGCCTTCTCTATGGGATTCTCCAAAAGTTTAACTTACAAATTCTGACCTTGATTGATTTTCACATCGCGCAATGAGGCTGGTGGCGAGGTCATCCCGCTTTTTATTGCACCCAAGTGAGGCTACAACGAGGGAGAGTCGTCGCCGCCTAGGTCACACGACCTGGCTAATCGAAATTTGGCCAAGTTTGGGTCACGATACTGGACAAGCCCGCGGTGGAGATATGAGAGGAGGAGGAGGAGGAGGAGAGAGAGAGGGGCCAATTTAACGGGCGAGCCGAAACCGATTACGTTATCCTTGTTAAGGATTGCATGTCATTTTCAATTCACAAAAGATAGTCGCCGGTCATGGTTGTGGCAAGGAAAGTGGTACGTGAGAAGCATATGCTTACCGGCCGGCGATAGACTTGGCCAATCGGTGAGCTGGGGAGTGATTTGAGATTAGGTTGCCCACTGGGTCACTGCAGAAGATTATTTGAGACAAGGTCCTCAATGAAGATTTTTCCCTTCAAGAAAACGGCTCCACTTGAGGGTGCTGCTATTTGCAATTTTTCCCAAACTTTTTATTAGCGAAAAGCGGGTCGGGCCTGAGCGGGCGGGCCGACCCGGCCTAACCAAAAGGAGACATAACGGTTAAATAAAAATATTCGTTTTTTTTTAATCGTTACGCCGAGGAAATAGGGTGCGTTTGGGAACACTTTGAGGGAAAGTTTTTTGGAAAATGCAAAGGACTTTGAGCTAAAAGGGTTTTTCGAAATGTAAGTAGTGTTTGGTAATGTGTGTTTTAAAATCACGTTTGAAAGCAACTTTGGTCTAAATACCGTTTGGTAAAAATTAATTTTATAAAGGACTTTTGTTAATTATTTATAAAAAAAATTTAGCAAAAAGCACAGCTATTGCCGGCGGGCCAAAACGGCCGCCGGCCAGCCTCGCCTGAGGTCGCCCGACCTCAGGCGAGGCGGCACCGCCAGGGCGACCTTAGGCGAGGCTGCACCGCCGCCTGAGGGTCGCGCGACCCTCAAGCCGCCTCGCCTGGGTCGCGCGACCCAGGCCGGTCGGGCGACTCCAGGCGGCGGTCGCCGGAGGTCGGCCGACCCCCAGGCAGCAGTGGCCGAACCCCTCAGGCGGCGGTCGCCGGCCTCCGGTTTGGTTCCTCGGGAAGATGAACAGTGCCAGACGAGGGCAAAATCGGAAAATCAAAAAATAGATGAGGGTAGTTTCGGAAGAAATTTTTTTTACTTACCCGGGTACTGTTGCTTACCGAGAAAGCTAAAAACCCAAGACAGCCTAGGACCTGCCTTGGGCTTTTAGCCTTCACAAGGCCAACTTTGGCTCAAATAGGGTTTCAAAAAAAATTTGCCAAGCACCCAATTTTAGCCTGAAGGGCTTTAGGTGCCCAAAGTGGCTTCCTAAAGCCAATCCCAAACGCAGCCATAATAGAGCAATCGGGAAATGACCAATTTCGCCTCTCGCACTCCCGCCTTCCTTCTGCCGCGCGCTCCAGTTTTGATTCCGCCGGCGACGAACTTTCCTTCCCGATTTCCCGAGAAAATCCGGAACTCCCCCCCCCACCCCCGACCGTCCGATCCCCCCTCCCAAGTCCTTCTGCCGAACGAGCAGGTCGGAGGTCGCTCGACGCGCGCGATCCCGCGTCGGACGGTTTCGTTAGGTTTTCCCGAGGCGATCCCGCTGTGCCGTCGGCGGTGGCGGGTTGCTGGTGATCTGTCGGCGGCTGCTTGTCGATTTTCGTTTTCGCGCAACTCCATGGATGATGACGATGCTGTTTTTTTTTCCTTCTTCCTTCTTTCTTTATTTGTGTGCAGTTAGCATGCTCCGGATGACGGTCCGTTCGGCTGCGTTCTTCTTCTTCTTCGTGTTGTCTGTCGCCAGGTAATTGCAGCTAGGGTTTCGTTTTTCCCGGTTGACTGGTGTTAGGATCGCCTTTTTTTGGGGTTACTGGGAAGTGGGAAATGAAATCGGGCTCGATAGCAAGACAACGTTTCATTCGTTACTTTGGTTCTCTCTGCAACCGCGTGCTGAGTGAGAGTTTTTTCTCTTTTGCTGTCTGCTCTACTCTGTTGTGTGCACTCTCTGACATTCGTTACCTCAAAATGGATTCTATCAAGGTTAATGATGTATGTCGAGCGTAATAATGTCGGAAAAACCGCATCTTTCCTGACTTCCCACTTCATCAGAAACTGGCCTACTATTAATGTGGCTGGCTTTTGTGCTTTTTATTCGGTTGAAGTAGCTATAGACTATGAATCAGGATTTGGGTATTTGAAATTTGATGGTCGGAAGGAAAGAAGAACTATGAGAATTTCACAACAGAAGATTATCTCTGTTTGCATCTCAAATTGTGGGCAATATTGGTGTTTTGTGGGTTGTGACGACTCATAACTGCTCAAAGGCGTGTAGGTCTTCTGGCGGTGAAGCAAAAAGTGAAAGAACATTGGCCATCATTAAGCCAGACGGATTGTTCGGCAACCACACGGATGCAGTAAAGGAGATTATTTTGGAGTCTGGCTTCAGAATCGTAATGGAAAAGATTGTTCAGTTAGATCAAGAAAGTGCAGCGAGCTTTTATGCTGAGCACTCTGCAAGGAGCTTCTTTCACAGCCTCGTCCAATACATGACGAGGTATATTACCTCTTGTCCTAATAGTGCCGTACTCGTACTTTGGGATTATCATGCATATTGAAATTGTCACCTTGGTCTCCTGGTTATGATCATCTTGAATGGTACAACTTTGGCGTGTTGAGTTTCTGCTAGTCCAGAAGCTGCTTCCTCAATTTGTTTTTGTTTTCCTCTTGGCATTATAAGGTTTTTTAGCTCGAAGAAAAACATGCCTGAACAAGTTCACAGATAATCTCTTGTAGGCTTGGATATTTATTTGAGTGGAAGGTGGCCCAGCTTGTGCACTTAATTTCATTCTGGTTCTTGTCTTTCTCACATAGAGGATAAATTACTCATTGACTCTTCATCTATCTGCATTCTCCTCCTTAATCCTCTTGCATATGTGCGCCTAACAGTGTGCTTCTGTTAGTGGTCCAGTGTTGGTTATGGTTTTGGAAAAGGATGACGCTGTTTCTAGCTGGCGTACTTTAATTGGGCCAACAGATGCAAGCAAAGCTAAAATTACTCATCCTCAAAGGTAATTAGAGATAGCTTGCATCTAATTGGTTTTCTATGTTGGCTCGTGTTGCAAATTTCGTTCAACATAAAATTTTGGATTCATGAGCGAGTTTCCTAACCATTCTCAAAATAGTTAGCTGCTGTCTGTCAAGTTGTGAAATGATTGTTTCTACTTTGCCTACAGCATTAGAGCAATGTGTGGGACTGATGCTGAGAAGAATTGTGTTCATGGTTCTGATTCACCTCAATCAGCCCAAAGAGAGATATCATTTTTCTTTGACTCTATGCCTTCAGGTGAGCTTCTATTGCCCTTTTCAGAAATCATATGCTTTCTCTTAGATTCATTGTAAGGATAAATATGGAATCTATAAGGTAGTCACAATTATACATCTATTGAACTTGCCAAAATCAGGAAAGGGAAGAGTTGCCTAATAGGGAATTCTTAAACTTGATTGTAATTGTCATTTTCAGTTAGAGAAATAGAACTAAGATGTTGGATAGGGTCATAGTCCTACTGTGAAATGAAATACCACAGTGGAAGATGGACTAGCACAGCAAATGATGCCCTTTATTGTCCTTAGGTATTGACAAATCTTTAATTGGAGAACCATTAGTAAAGAAGACGATCAACAGAAGCATGACTTTTTTACATTTATTCTATTGACAGGGGTGCAAGATATTGAACATGACGAACTGTAGCCGGAAAATACGGAGTATCCCTTTGAGCCTCTTTAACCTCTTCGGTTAAAACCATATGAGACAGATTCCTCATCTACTTGAGACTGGCATAGAGGATCATTTCCATTAAATTTTAATTCTGTTTCGCTGAATTTATCGTTTTTGTGGAGCCACTTTGACGTGGCGATAACTACAGAGGTAAGCCCTGCATGCTTAGTTGTTGTCAGCTCAAAATAGTTCGCGTGTGTAGCTGAAGATCTCAAGCCTGAAGTGTAAAATTGGAGAAACAATAGGGGACCTGCTTAATCAGGTTTGCATCTCATGGTGTTGCAGGATTCATTTATGTGATCACTAAATGCCCCAAAAAGTGGTTCTGGGTTTCACCTGATATACTTAGTCCAATTGTTTACTCATTCAATATGTGGCTGATAGGATTTTCCAGGATAGTTTGCATAATGTAGCACTCTTCCTGGATGACGCTATGCTCCTCTCTTGATGTGGTTTGTTACTTTTTGGCTAGTCATGGCACTTAGAAGATACAGCTTCAGATTTTTGTTCTCTCTTTTTGGGAAACCCGCACTCTCGGGGAAGGGCTTTCGGTTGCTGGCTGGCCAAGGTCTCTGGACAAGATATTCCTTCTAGGATTAGCTGTTTTGCAGAAAACGTTGTATTCAGACAACTAGATATTAAATTAAATAATACTCTACTAAATTTGAAACAGTGCCGTTAACATCAGGATTAGTAAGTATGATTGTTTCTGTGATTAGTGGAATTTTAGTCATGGAAAAGATGTACACCAGGGTAACAGAGAATGGATAAGAGAATGAGAAAACAAAATGAAAAGGACTTTGTTACACAAAGATGATGAAGAATTAGAGCATTTGAACCCAATTTGTAAGTGGAGCAGTTTTGACTTTAAGTTGGTAGTAGGCTTTCGGTATAGAAAGCTAAAATGGGATAGGAGGCAGCTCCTTCTGGTCAAGTGTCAACAACTCCTGTTTCTTTTCAGCCATTTGACCAAGGATCTACTTTTGTACCTCCTGGCTCTCTGTCTTCAAGATCTAAGTGCTTTAGGATGGAGGTTGTGATAGATTGGGCTGACACTTAAGTGCACTTTGAATCTCTTATATCATTCATGCCGAGTGGGTGTGTGTATTGTGCATGTGGCGTTGTTACTGCATGTGGATAAGGATATAAAAAAAAAAGTGGCTGCTACTGTCCTGGATTTGCCTCATTATCTAGCTGTCAACTTTCCGGCGTGAAGAAGATTGAATAGTGAGGATGAAGTGAAGGGACGAATGACTTAGAACTCTCTCCCTTGTATACCATAGGTAGAGTAGAGTTGTTTCTATCAAAGTTAGACCGTTCAAATCCGGGTGTTGTCTGATCAAGAAAAGCTCTCTTTCAACCGGCACAGTTCTCTGTTCTTGGGGCAATGTTATGGTAGGAGTCGTACTCATGGTGATAACTCCCATCTCAGCGAGGAGAAAAACTAGACAGACTAGGCTAGGTTTAGAAACCTTCCCCTGTTCATCATTCATTTTGATAACCTGAATCAGATAGTTGTATGAGACAACTTAATCATTATTCATTATAATAAACATAAACAAGTGTTCCACTTTATTTCCTTACCAAAAAAAAAAACAAGTGTTCCACTTTATTTCATTGACTGCTCTGTTTGGCCTCATCACATCTTCAAGTGTCTCTAAGTCACATAGGAATTGGTTCTGCGTATCAATCTAGGCAATGGAATAGCTGAGGATGCCCTAATTTTATATGGTGGAGCGGAGAGTACTGCTGAGATGTGCGCTGCAAATGCGAGCTTGAATAGGTTTCCCCTGCTTTCTGGGGATTTCATCTTATTCTGCCGGTGCAAAATTCTCTACTGTGATGAGAGCAGCCATTGTGAGCAGTGCCCCATCTTCCTCCCAGCTCTTGACAGCAGTTGCCTCTTATTTGATGCAAATCTATGGTGATGAAGATGTGCATGAACTCGTGCTTTAAAAAAGGAATCACAAACGTGCGTGCACTCATTGCATTTGGATAGTGGGGTACGTGGCCTTTCTCTCTGTCTTGCTATTACTTTGATGAGATTGTAGCTTGACTCCAGGGCTAGTTTTGTACTGTGGAAGATTTGCTCGGGACACTTGGTGCCTTAATTAATGGAATGGTCCAGTGAAAATCGAGCCTAGTCAAATTCCAAGGCCCACCAATTTCCTGGAGGGTAGGCGTCCACATCACCCAAGGTCTTAGTTTATTTTTGGTAAGGTGTGTAACATTCCAGATATGGCAAGCCTAGCTCATGGTTGGGATTAGTAGCTTGGATTCTCCAAGCCCTAGGCGTCTATTCGATGTCAACACCCCCACATGGACTGCTTTGAACCCTTTTTGATAGTCCTTTCCCTATTTTGCTCGTTTATTTTTACCTTGGTGGGAGTGATTCTTCAGAATTCTCTTTCGGCCTTTGCCCATTGCATTTTCCTACATGCATCTCGAGGTACCCCCTTTTTTTCCACGATCTGTAGAACTTCTAGGCTTCTGGGTGACGGATCGAGTGACGATACCCACCGAAGATATTTATTGAGTTCTCACCAAACAATTCGCTTTGTGATTTGCTTGCTGCAGTCCTGAAGTTTTTGAGTCGAGGCAGAGGCCTGTTGCTGTCATTGTATTTCCTGACCAAAGAACATTGAACAGCTATGCTTCTGCCTCAAAAGGGGTTTTGTTTTGTTTTACTTTAAATTTGCTTAAGTTTGATCGGGGAGCGACGTGAATCCATCAGAACCACATGAATTCATTCTCTTCCATGGCAAACCGCCATGGGACGAGGCGGCATTTATGCAGGAGGGAGGGATGAAAAGTTTCTGTGCGCGGCCCGAAGCAGTACTTATGTCCACCAATGGCCCCTTTTCCGGATTAATCAAATTAATCCCGTGATTAGGGAATATAAGTATTGGGCTTGAATCCATCATTTGGCGTGTCGATTCGAAAAGCTGTGACGGAGGAAAAGTCTACAAGGCGAACTGTGTTTAGGTCAAAGTTAATCACCCTTGGCGTGCTTAAAGATACTGTTTATTATTGGCTCGATCCAATCAGGTTAGAGTGTCCTGAAAACCTTTGAGGGCAAACATCATCTTAATTTTGATCGCGATTATTTATTTTAATTCCTAATTTATCTCAGGGGAGCTGGTATTTTTAGTTAGGGGGGAACATAAAGAAACATATAATTTCCTTAATTGAGGGGGTTAAAAAAAGGTCAACTCCGTACACGTGTTGGTCGGACACGACGTGGCGGGAACGGTTGACGGCGTGGCACGTAGCCAACTTTCCTGATCTGCTGTGACTCCAAGAGGATCCCATTTGGTACCTTAAAAGGAAAAAAAAGGGAGGGGTTTCTTGCATCTACAGTTTGATGGCTTTGTTGGGAATTTGATATTTGCGATGTTTAGGGTACGAAAAATGAATGATTAGATAAAAATATTATTTAAATCGTAAAAATAAATGGGGGTTTTAATGTCGTTCTGAATTTTCGGTGAATTTCCTAATATTCCGTTAAATCTGAATAATAATATTAATGACAATAATAACGACAACAATAGGAAATGGAAGTCAAATGTACTAACAATAAGTGGAGATGGAACTTGAGTTTGCTGATAAACAAGTATGATTACCGTCGCCACCCAGTATCACCATCGTGGTTTCGAGAACTGGTTGCCGCCACGGTGCCAACAATGTGACATGGTTCCCTCATGGCCGTGTTCGTTTTTCACTCTGATTCTCCTTTCAAAAATTTGGCGAGCACTAGGTCATATCTCTTCTAGCCCTTTTGGAAAATGAACAACAGCATCGGAGAATCGATCCCGAAACGGTCCAGATCCAGTGTAGGCGAAGACCAAGGATTTATCTGGTGCATTCGAGCCTTTTAACCAAGTCCCAAAGTACAAGCAAGTTGACCATGATCTCTGTTTGTGCATCTACCTATCCAATTCCCATAAGCAAGGGGTGGTGCAATCTCCTCTCTGTCGTCCTTTTACAAGTTTCAGAATATGGCGAGTGGTTAACTAGGAAGCTTCACCAGGGCATGCAAATCTCAGATAACAAAAACCTTTGTACTGTAAGTAATTAGGCGATTAGACTTTATATACGAAAGGACTTAAAGAAAAATCTCGGGCTCTGGAACATTCTCGACATAAAAATCTTTGGGCAGGGAGTAATTTCTCGCGAATCTTCTTGTCTCGACATGAGTTGATTATTCGTTTGATTAAACCAGAAAAGGTTAAATAAAATTAATTAGATGAAAGTTGGCCTTTCAACCAGGATCCCTCCGAGAAACTTCTAATAGTTCATGAAAAAAATCAATGCTTTGACAGTAAGACACGAGCCTTCGCGTACCAGGCTAAGTTCACCTCTCGAGTGTAGTCAGGTTGACCAAGGCATGCTTTCTTGAAGCGCGGCCTCGAGTGAGTGCGTGAGTAGCAAATCCAATACCTCGCGCTTTTTGAGAAATAAATTCCAAATCCCCTTTTTCAATCAACTAATCCTTTTGATTCCTTCTTGCCATCTCAAGTGTTCTTTCGGGAGATTTCTTTCTGCTAACCAAGAAAGAGGAGTCCAAGCAAAGCTCCCTTTCTTTTTCTTTTAAAAAGCTTTCGGGATTAATAAGAGAATTTAGCTGAAAAAAACGGAGGGAGACGTTGTCCCTCAGGACCAGACCAATATTTAGGGCATCCCCTCGTGTCACTCCCCTTATCGTTAGATTATAAAAGGTTTGTGTCTGGAGATTGATATCACGTTTCTTTCTCTCTACTTAATGGGTGTCTTTGGATCTCTGCATTTCCCCCAATCCAATGGCTGACATGAGCGCCACTCTTTGTGGCCCCTTTTGAGGGTTTGTTCCAGAAAAAGCTTATTTGGACCCCCATGTGTTTAGAATACTTGTACACGCACACATTCATAGATGATATGAGTAAAATATCAGAGGGAATGTTTTTGTGCTGATGGGAATGTGTGTATATTAGTTGTAATTTGTGTAAGATAGACTGACTCACTCATTCAGGTGTGTGTGTTCAATTCAAAGCTTTGAGAAAGATATATACTTGTTGAGTGGGAGAAAGCAAAGCTGCTTTTAGGAACTTGAACCAAGTGGGAAGCTAGTTCAGGTTGGCAGTCAAATTCACCAAGGCTCAAAATCTTGAATTTGCACTCCCAAAGCTCAGTTCTCATTGGCCTTTAAGATCTGCTTTCTTCTGCACCGGGGTCTCAGTCTGTCAAGCAATCTCCCACTGAGTTTTTTTTCTGCCAGCTTTTGGTTTTTCCAAAAGCCAATAATACAGCTTCCTACTCATCCAAGGAGTGAAAGAGCTTCGAGCTTTGCCTCCTTGTTTCCCTGAAAATGAAGGTAAATTGTGTGTGAGGTCATGTTGCATGTGGCTTTGCTCGTGTGTTCAAGTCCTGTACGAGTTCTAATTTAGACATTTTGGGTTGCAGCTATTCAGTTGGGTGCAGAACAAGCTAAGTGGTCCAAAAGGGAATGCAAAACCAGAACCAGTACCCGCCAGTAAATGTAAGTGTTCATAGACCGTATCAAGTCAGCTCTTTCGCTTTCTCAGTGTCTTGGTCAACTCTGTCATCGAAATGTCTTGCTTCGTATTGGCTAAGAATATACTAACTATCTTGCTTCATAAGGTATCAAAAGAGATCTTCTGGCTATTTGAGCCTCTTCTCTCGTCTCCCATCTAGCCTGCTATCTAGAATAGTTGCTTTGGGCATTTCGCAAGTGTGCACAGTGATGGATAGAGAGATTATCGGCCTCGTATTCTAACACAATCGACTTTTGGACCAATCATTTTAGTTCTCGAAATTAATCCAAAAGGTTGGCGTCAATGAATAAGATCTATCTGAATGGAGCATGATGTCCTCCCAAATGATCCGAGGTCGTCTAGAAGTTCCCTTTTTTTTTTTTTGGTCGAAGCCTAGAAGTTCCTTTTAAATATGCCAAAATGGCTTTTCTTGGTGATGATTACTAGTGCCAATGAAATAAAAACCTTTTCCTGTGAACAGAAAATTGAAACACAAAATCCTACTTGAATTCATAGATTCGAAGAATACAATCTGAACGGGCAAGATGGTAACTCGAAGATTTTTGTTCATTCACTTTGTATAGAAGAAAGTGCTTTCTTTTCTCTTTTTGGAGTCCATAGGAAGTGTTTTCAACTGTATACCGGGCTGTGATCTTACATCATCATTTGTTTTCTTTTTCTCAACAGTGGTATAATAAATACGCACGAAGAACCAATCATCTACCATCAACATAACTAAAGTTTTGAGAAGTGAGCTTACTTCTACCCTTGGATCAATTTTTTAATTAGTTTGGTACTTGATTGTACAGATCATCCTGTGAAACAAGAACCTAGAGAAGAATTCAGCGACTGGCCACAGGGATTGCTGGCAATTGGAACCTTTGGGAACAGTGATCTAGGAGAAAACCAAGGAAGCCAAAACAATCTTCAGGGACATAACGAAGAAAGCCAAAACAATCTTCAGGGACATAACGAAGACAGCCAAAACAATGATCAGGAAAATCCGGCTTCCTCACCCGATATATCAGACTTCACCCCTGAAGAAGTTGGGAAATTACAGAAAGCTTTGACCAAACTCTTATCCCGGAAGCCTTCCTCTAAAGTTGAAAGAGAAACCACAGATCTGCCACTGGACAGGTTCCTAAACTGCCCATCAAGCTTGGAGGTCGACAGGCGGATTAGTAGTTCCTTGTGCAGCAAGCCAGGGGATAGGGATGAGGATATTGAGAGGACTATAAGTATTATCATTGGTAAATGTAAGGAGATCTGTGCAGATAATGGCAAGAAAGCAATCGGGAAAAAGTCCATTTCGTTCCTTCTTAAGAAGATGTTCGTTTGCAGAAGCGGATTTGCACCGGCGACTAGCTTGAGAGATCCGCTCCCCGAGTCAAGAATGGAGAAGGTACAGAGAAAACACACTAGTTAGATCATATCTCTAGTTAGATTATTTGATTTAAACCATGATCACGGTGGAAAGATTGACGAGTCTAGATGTGCATATGAGGAGTGCCGATCTACTTTGATTCATCTTTGTCTACGAAGATCTTGAAACCTCCGTATTCATCAGATGTGTAGACAGGACGACTGCACAAAAAACTAGCTGGTCCAAAAGTTCTATCTCATAGAACACAGAAAATGATCACAGATATTAAGCTACCTAGCACCTAAAATAGGAATATTGTGCACGACTTATTGACCACAAAAAGAAACTAATGCATATAACTTTTCCGCTTCTAGATGTTAAAATCTAAACTACGGAAAGAAATTTTTTTTGTCCATTTGGTTTGACTAATGTTGCCACCTTCATGCTTCTTCCTAGCAGCTTCTGAGGACATTAATTCGCAAGAAAATGTACCCGCAAAATACTTCTCGGGCATCGTCGATGAAAAGGTACTTAGAGGACAAGCCGATCTTGAGAGCAGAGAAAGAAAAGCAGGAGGAAGCAGATGAAGGCTCTAAATGGGACAAGACAGATTCTGAATGTAAGTTCACCCTGGGATCATCCCAACTTTTCGCAACAAATCTAACTAACTCACTGAAAATATCACAAGAGCTTGCATTCAAATCATGCTTCTCTTTTGTTGCAGATATTGTCCTTGAGATTTGATCTACTTGCCATCTGCTACAGAAATACACTACAAGGTAATAAAACTAATTTCAATTTGCTTTTGAATGAGTAATCTTTTGCATCCCTTACTTCTCTGCCCTCAAATAACACAATTCTTGGCACGACCAAAACCTACTATGCAGATTCATTTTTCATCACTTAGTTTTTGCGGCTCATATTCCTTAGCTGGGACCTCGGACATGGAGAAGCTGTTGATATATCTTTGAAACGAAGTCGTCAATAAGTTCATCTGAGGATCTAAGTTGGCTCATATGAAGGATCAGGAAAGAGTTGCTTTCAATTAGTTGGACTGTGCTAAATTCCAAAATTTCTCCCCTTTTTTTCATGGTTGTTTCTGTTGGTCAGTCTCAACACATGTTAATGGACATATCTCCTATGGATTATCTGTAGTGCATATTCTGGCAAAGCTGGACACAATCCACAATTTCCCATCTTTCTTACTGTTATTCTCTTTTCTCTTGACCATTTCTCGTTTTTGTAAAGTCTGTAAAATAGTAAGAAATATTATAAACATCTTTGAAATAATCTACCTGACAGTTCTTCTTTCAAGAGGGAAAAGGACTAAGGCAAGGTCTTCTATGCCATAACTGAAGAGAACAAATATACCATCAAATGGTAGGTACGGGGTACTGAGCATTGGATTAGAATTTGTTATTGATGTCTTTTGCACCTTATGCAATAAGCAAGTCAAGCACGTCGGCGCGAATTAAGTGAGTTTATTGAGCCCACTTGATTGATCTTATGACTAGCTCTAGATAATATCTCATGGGTTCATCGAATTTGCGTTAAACATTCAGTATCCAAATTTAAACTAACTCGAACTCTTGAACTGGGTTGGAAAAAGTAGGTTGAAGTTGTTTTAGTATCTTGATTCTGTCAATGTGAGAATTGCACATAAAGACCTGAAATCGAACTAATTTAAGCCACAATTTTTTGTTTTGATCAGTCGAGAATAATCTAATTTGATTGATTTGTGATTTTCTTTTTCTTGATCCGAAGATGACTGATGCTTGAAACACACGACAGTAATTATCCAAGTTCCAACTAGAATTGAATCAATTAGGAAATTCAACTTTTCACATTTGATAACGGTGGTGTGTGTGTTTGTGTCGGTTTTATTTTCGTCCGAATCTGTATAAATACTCTTCTACAAAAGGGGTCAAAATGTAAAACAAAGTTAAACCTCCGGGCCAAAAGCAGGAAATCTCAAAAACTGGCCATGTCATTCAGAATTCCGAAAGTTTCTTCCGCTCCCCACTGTCACACTTTTCAGCTGCGCTCCACCAAAAATCAAGATCGAGTCTTTCATCAATCCACTCGAACGCTGCTTAAATTCGCTCGATAGGGAAACCCTTTGAGCCCTAGAAGGTCAAACCAAATCTTTCTCCCTCACAAATGCTACTTTCGTCTCCCTTTCTCACCCTCTTGGATTCTTGATCGCAACCTCTCGTAAAAATCCCATCTTGGATCTGATTTGCTTCTCGCTCACCTTCTAAAGTTCCCATCTTTCTTGTCTGGTCTTGAAGCCTGGGGAGAATTGTGGGGTTTTCTGGATTAATTCGTCGAAGCGAGTTTCGGGTCGATTGATTTATATTGGGAAGTGGGAAGTAGGTGCAGAATTTGCTCTTGTTTTGCTTGTGGTGTTGCTGCAAAACACGAGGAGAAGTGTCAATTCGCGCTTTGAGAAACCGGCGGCTTGCATTCAATTTGCTCATTGTGTTTGAAATTAGGTTTCTTTTAGTGAATTGGGTGTTGTTCTTTAGCTGGTTAGTGAAGGCTTTGGCGTTGCGTGGCGAGGGGGATTGAAGAAGAGGTGTTCGTAGCTGTCAATGCCATTTCTGGATTGGTATTTGGTGGATTCTGAGGTGATTCTGTTAGACTTAACGCGAAAGTCGAGGCTAATTATCGATGTCTTGGGCAAGTGCTGAAGACACTTACCTGTCGACTTCTCTCGCCAGCTATCTTGACAGTAGGTTTTTTCGCTTTAATTTCACATTTGCATAAATTATACTGTTGTCTTGTTAATGAGTTTGTTGATGCCGGTTGAGTTGTTCGTTGAAAAACGCCGCTATTTACGAATGGTTTTGAGACTTTCATCTCTTATGTTTAACTCTATATGATGGCAGTGCATCTTGATGTCTAGGATGTATTATGATATATAGAGCAATGATTTTGACCCGTTGGGTTTTGAATGGGAGTGCTATCTTGGTTTATTGTGTTGGCTTCTTGTGTTATTGTTTGTCTGCGGAATGATGTTTATAGTTGTATAAAGAGATGTGTGCATGTGCGTAAGGACACCAAGCCTGCACATGTTTATCTGGTGCTATAAAGGTTTTATAGGGAGAACTAGTGACAATGCTATCTGTGTTTGCAAGGGAAAATTAATTACAACTTTCCACTATTTTATGTTCAGTAGGCTGTGAGACTACATAGTCAGTTGGTACTGGTTAAGCCAAAGATGTTGTTGCATGCAGTTTTTCAGTCACCAATCCTTTTGCTCTGATGTTTCTGAAGAGCAGATGATTAAGTCATTCATGCTAATACTCATTTTTCTTACCCTAAATGATATGTATGACTGCCTTTACCTATGCTGATCTAATTCATTGCTTTGCTGAGTGGAGAGAAGAGCTAGCATTTTGTTACTTTAGAAGAAGTTGAAAACAAGCCTAATAAGACTCAACAGAATGTAGCATTTGGTGGGTCGGCAAAAAGATGACTGTAATGCCCAGGACCTTAATTCATGGACGTTGTCAGCTGCAAGAATCTTCTTCCTGTGAAAATATTAAGTTTTGCTATCCAGGTTAATTAATATGAAATCATGATATATCTCTGGAGAATTATGATTTGACAGAGGTTTGATGGGACATAAAGCTACCATAGTACTCCTCAGGTTATCCGTTTCTTGTCTATAACCAGTGTGAATTAGTTTGGATAGAGCCTTACTCTTAATACTTCTGGCTGAAATACCCAGTTGAGAGAGCTATCTTGAGAAAGAACAATATACAGCTGAAGTATTGTCTTTGAAGAAATAGTAGGCTTCCTGATGAAATTCATTCTACAAGAACTTCTGCTTCCATTTTGAAGCAATGGAAGATGTATATGGCCTTCCATCAATTGAAAACTCCCAATATGGCAATATGCGTGATTGAGTTGTGATGCTAAATATGTTTAACTGCTCTATTACAAAAGGTGGCTAGCCTCCTTCAAGTCAGTCATTTTATTTTATCTTCCCTCAGTACTTTGTCATGCTTTCCTTTTGCTTTTATTGTTTTTTTCTCTTTCGTTATTGACGGTGAAACGTGTTGGTCTTTCCACGAGATACAAATAAAAAATGGCTGTCTGTTTGTGGCATCATGTTAGATTCTTACGTCCGAATGATATTCTGCTTTACAGAGAAGCTTCTTGTACTGCTGCGAGATGGTCGAAAGCTGTTGGGTATACTTCGCTCGTTCGATCAATTTGGTACAACCTTTTGGCTTGTTATCCTTTGTGGCTGCATAAGTATATGCTTCAATAGCAAAGTCCTGTGTTCTAATTCTGCTATACCTTTTTTATGCAGCAAATGCTGTTCTAGAGGGCGCATGTGAAAGAGCTATTGTTGGTGACCTATATTGTGACATCCCTTTAGGTCTTTATGTAATACGAGGGGAGAATGTAGTTTTAATTGGTGAACTGGTAGGAAATATTATAGTGTTTGTCAATTTCACATACAGCGTTTATTCTCTATAGTACCCTCATACAAGCATCTCATGTATCAGGATGTTGAAAAAGAGGAACTTCCCCCACATATGAGACGGGTTTCAACAGCCGAAATTAGAAGGGTATGTGTACCACAAATTATTGAATGTGGGCTAGTCGTGGGATCCTACAAAATGACACTGTTCCTAAGTGTTTGATCATATCTTTGATAGTTGTCGATTATTTCCACGCTTATCGATTTTGGCAAATAGTTTTGAATTATTGCAAGATGTCAATTATTTGAAGGCTCTGGCAGGAATAGCTAATAGTAATAATTTGGTGGTATTCTTTGGTTAATATCTGGATGAAGGTTCTGAGGTTTCTGTTTTGTTATGTCAAAGATCTTGGTCATTTATACTCTTCCACTCGCTTCAATGTATGAACTCATTGAGTCAGACTATTGGGGCACCTAAAAAATAATTCGTAGGATATTATACGTTTTTTATACACTTCCAGTTGCACACTTTTTGCAACTTCCAGTTTCTTGTCAATGACTTTAGTTGAAATGGAACAAAAGCAAGAGTGTTGACTTCTGAAACCATTTCTAACCTAGCAGTGCATGGGAAGATGATTTCATGTAATGCTTCTATGTCAATATACCTCATTTTCTGTGTTAGTGTATTCTTAATCTTGTTGTATTATAAGAAAGTATACTAGATTGCATAAATTGATTTAGCCATGAAAATTTCTTAGCTTTTTCACTTTGATGATGCTGCAGGCGCAGAAGGCAGAAAGGGAGGCTTCAGACCTTAAAGGCACCATGAGGAAAAGAATGGAGTTTTTGGATCTGGATTAAAGCATTGAAGCAAATAGCGTAAAAGGATACCTATCGAATAGGCTTTGGCACGTCGAGGTAGAGCCCTGGGCTCTTTTGATCATAATGTGTTGAACCCATGTCTGCAAATATTAGCGCAGTGGTGTTTTGGTGTTGCAAAGGGTGTCATATTTAATTTTCAGTCGAGCATTGACCTTCAATATTCAGATTCTTCTCAGGGTGGTTCATTTTCTTATTGTGTTATTAGCATGTAAGCTGAAATTGGATCTTCACGGGAAGCTTAAGATTCTCTGGAATTAGCAGGGTGTCTGCACTTTGGAACACTGAACGTCAGCATCTTACTGTGGATAATCTGTCGTCGAATCCATGTTGGCATTATATGTTTCCTCAGTCCGGACGGTCGTAATGAAATTAGTCGTGATTTAGGCAAGGCTGCAACCTTATTCACTGTTACTTCAGCAAGGCTTCGACTATGTTCCATGTAGCGAGATACAAACGTGATGACATGTGTTAAGGTTTTTCGCATTCGACAAGCCGGTCTCAAATGTCGTGCTTTTGGTCTTGTGAAGTGGCTGAGTTGTTTCTTGCCAATCTTAACATTTGGGATATCATTTGGAAGTTGAACTTCTCAACTTGGCAGAAGTATCTACATTCTGGAAATTGGGACCATAAGCAGAAAAGAAGCGAAAATAATCAGTTTCAGATACGAGGGTTCGGCAAGGTAGGTGATTTACATTGAATGTGTTGGCTTGTTCGTTTTGTCATTAGACGGTTAACCTTGGTAGATTCGAAAGCAGAGAAGGAAAGAAAAAAGCACAACAACTCGCTTATGCTGTTCGAAGTGACGGTAAATAATCGGAAAGCAGGCTGAAGAGAAGAGCATGTACAGAATACTTACAGTTTGGGCAAGTGCATAAGTCGCCATTTAATTGCTCTAACTACATTGGCTTGATATGTGCCTTTAAATTTCTTTCTTCTCATCTCCTTCACTTGCTCGCACCTTCGCTGTTGCACAAAATATACACACATTGGTGGACCAGATAAAACTCTAGATGTCAGTACCATCCTTCTTTTCGAATTTGCCATGCATTACCACTTAATGTCTAAGGACTCTAATCATGACACGCCGAATGTAAACCTGTCGCCATCTCGACGCCCTGACCGGTCTTCGAAACTATATGATCCGATTCTCTATCCCGAGTTTGCGCTGTAGCCTTCTTGTAAACTCAATGCACTGAACTGCGGCGAAACATCTATTGTCCTGGTCTCTGCACCTTCCTCCATCTGTATCTCGTCAATTCTCCTGAGGGCCTCTCTCATGTCTAATCTCTGCTCGGGATTAGTTTCTGTGCAAGCCGCGCCAATATGGAGAAGCTTTTCCATCTCAGGGAACGAACTTATTGAGTTTGCAATCTCGGGATCGAACAGTTTGGCTTCTCTCCCATCAGAAATCGCCGATCTCACCCATTCGATGATATCGGTTCCGCCTTTCCCATTACTGAGGTATTGTGAAGGGAATTTTCCTGTGAGGATCTCAAGGATTACCACCCCGAGACAGTACACGTCACATTTCGGCGATATTCCGCCAAACTGTGCGGCTTCAGGCGCCTTGCACGCGAATAGTTCTTGCGGGACATGGGACGTGCCAAGTAATGAGCTGAACCCGTAGTCTGCCAGGAGCGGCTCATATTCCGAATTAAGAAGAATGTTGCTTGATTTAAGGTTACCATGGGGCAAGCCGGAAGAACGAAGTTCGTCATGCAGAAAGCCCATCCCTTTTGCTATTCCTTTGATGATCTTTAGGCGCACTGGCCAATTCAGATCTCCGTGAGAAGGTCCACGATCACCTGAAACGTTCGATCCATCAACCACATTTGTCAAGACTAACTTGCCACAAAGAAGGAATTATACAAGCAATCACCAAAAAACAGAACAAGAAAGATAGAGATGCACAAAATCTTTTCAGGTCATACCGTGTAATAAATAAAGCAGACTTCCTTTGGGAACATATTCACAAACCAGTAACTTCTCGTCCTTCCTGTAATGGTAAGCCAAAGGGGTCAAAATGTTAGGGTGCTTTAGCCTTCCTAGCTTCCACATCTCTGCATCAAACTCATCCTTACTCTTCCCGTCCGCCGTCTCTCTTATTCTCTTCACCACGACCGTGACCCCATTACCCATCACGGCTTTGTACGACGATCCGAATCCTCCGTTCCCCAACACTTCGGCCGCCGCTTTCATCAAATCCGCCATCCCAAAGACGCCCTTCTCATCGCTTAACAAAACCAGGTCGCAGGTAGCCGAACCTTTGGCAACATTAGGGGCAGGACTCTTACGGCTCGAGCCCATTCCTTTGCGACTTAATTGCACTTCCTTTTTCTCAGTTTCAAGAACGTCTTTCTGAATCGGGTCACTTGCATTTTCCTTCCCGAGCACATTGAAGTCCTGTTGGACCTTTGATCGTCTCCTCATTCTGATTATCAGGAAAATGAAAATAGTCAGAAGCACCACTCCCAGCGCAATTAGAACGACGATGATTTTTTTCCGGCTGCCTGCTGAACCATCGTGCTGATCATCAACTGAACCACGATCAGTGCTCGGTCCTCCAGCGCTAGTTGTATTTGGTACGGGGGGCGGCTGCTCTACTGCCTTTGGACACTCTTTACCCAACTTTTCCCCGCAGAGGCCGGAATTTCCCTCGAACGAACTCGCGTTAAACTTCGATAGGCTTGGAGGAATTTTCCCTTCCAACTGATTGTTCGACAAATCGAGCGACACCAACGTCGGTACATCAATGGAGGGAACAGCGCCACTGAATTCATTGTTTTCGAGGTGTAATTCCATGAGATGGGTTAAGTGGGCCGCCGACGATGGGATTGTCCCGGTGAACTTATTGTGAGAAAGCCACAATTTCTTCAGAGACCCCATGTCGGAGAAATAACCTGCTGGGATCTCACCCGAGAACTGATTTCCTGAAAGATAAATGGCCTTGAGGGCGCCGAGACGGTTGAACTCTGGAATCGGACCGGAAAAGGAGTTGTTCACAAAGCTAAGAGATCTCAGGCCTGCGATTTCCGTCAATGCATCGACATCTATCTTCCCTGATAGACTCATCTTTCCGAGCCGCAGGCCCGTGACAATCCCGTTGTAGCAAACGACTCCGACCCAGGAGGCCTCATTGCTGCAAGGATCCGAACTAGGCACCCAAGATTCCAGGGCCTGAGAATTCGCAAACGATCTCTTGAGCTTGAGCAATGCGTCGGATTGCGATATCGAGTATGTCCTCGGAGACAGGATCAGGACGATGGACAAGACGACCAGGGACGGCCCGATAAGGCGTGCGGCGACCATTGTTCAGCCGGAGATACGACGCCTCAGGACAGGTTCAGCCGTCGTAGTTTTCGTGTGGAACTCGTCCCCTGGTTTCTTGTTGCTTCATGACTTGTCGGGCAATCTTGTTGGAGCAATGCAGGAATGCTTGTCCGGATTGACAGCAAGCGAGAGAGAGAGAGAGAGAAACGGGGAAAATCTGTTATGAACCGGTCAACTAGAAAGGGCCGTTCTTTGCCAATTCTGGAACTCGTTTTATGGTGGAGATTTAAAAGGCCGAAACTGCACGAAGACATTCTTGTTTGCCCCTTTTGATGGTTGTCAGTGCATCTGGAGATAACAAGAATATGTGAATTTTCACTTGCTCATACATTAAAGCATCAATTAAGAGCTAACTAGCTAATTCATTGTAAGCTAGTATGCACAATACCTATTCGCTTTGGCCCGTCTTATACCAAGTTTGACCTTTGGTTTGCGGGCAAACACTTTCTTAGGAGGTCACTCATCCCGGTAGTATTCCGGTCTGAAGTTTGCCGTTACATCAAAATGCGTCTTTATGAGTTAATTCCAGTTTTTTCACACACACTTATCCAAGCACGCTCTTCTCCTATTCGGTGTACTATTTGGTTCGTTCCTATTCTTTTTGCCATCCTAAAAGCCTGCTAGGAGCCACTCCTCATTTGAACCCTCTGGCGCCGGCGACCACTCTCTCTTACAATATCAATGTCTTTGATAGTAAATGCAAAAGATTTCCAATCCTAGGGTGGTCACGTCAAGTGGGGCAATAGTTGAATGGCGAGCGACCGGTCAATGTTTGTCTTTGCCTCGGATCGGAGTCGTCGTGGATTTAGTAATTTCAACTGTTCGGTGTAATATAGTTTTATCAGTGGTGAGATCAAAAGGACGAGCAAACTGATTTGCAAGAGTAGATTCGGCCAAGACGAGAGAAGTGGCATGATTATCTTGAACCATACTAAGACTTTCACTAAGTTTCACTCTAGGATATAATTAGCAAGAAAAATTTCGTTTCTTGGCTAGCCTAAAAAAAGGGTACTATCAACTCATGAAAATAATTGTATGTTTCATAAGGAAAATCTTTCTCGAGTATAAGTAATTTAGCATGATCAACACCCATCCAAAATGCAATTACATAATGCTAGCCAGGAGTATATAATAAAATTGTAAATCTAGGTAGTCATTTACCAGATAGGTAGGATGAAATTAATCAACATTGTTCTTAGACTAGACTACACTCGAAATTAGAAACTTTTGAACACTGTTAAAAGGGGTTAATTCAAAAAAAAAAGCACCAACTTTAGGTCGAGGGATAATTCTGGCCCGAACTTTTTTTTGTTCCATAAAAAAGCATCAACTTTAGGTCGAGGGACAATTCTGGCCTGAACTTTTTTTTGTCCCATAAAAAAGCATCAACTTTAGGTCGATGGACAATTCTGGCCCGAACTTTTTTTTGTCTCGTAAAAAAGCACCAACTTTCATTTAAATCTCAAATTTGGCCCCCCAATGACTTTTTATCTGAAGTTACTCTTATTTGAGAAAAAAAGTTATGGTGGTGAGCCTGGCGAATCTCTTCCATGGCATCTGTCGACGGGCGGTGGTCTACAGTTTTAGATTACGACAAACGACGAAGTTTGGCTAGAAAGATTCAATCTGGAGATATTTTTGACTTGCCGGTGAAGTGAAGGAGACGAACAGTTTCACCGTTATTCTTCAAGCTGTGGTTCAGAGAATAAGACAATGAATAATGCTTTAAATCCAATCAATAAGTCACGTGGATTTATTGCTAAGGTGGAATAATCAAGTTGGAAAATCAATTGTTTTAAGTCAATAAGGGCCAGATTTGGGATTTAAGTGAAAGTTGATGCTTTTTTACGAGACAAAAAAAAGTTCGGGCCAGAATTGTCTCTCGACCTAAAGTTGGTACTTTTTTACGGGACAAAAAAAAGTTCGGGCCATAATTGTCCCTCGACCTAAAGTTGATACTTTTTTATGGAAAAAAAAAATTTCGGGCCAAAATTGTCCCTTGACCTAAAGTTGGTGCTTTTTTTTGGAATTAACCCCTGTTAAAAGATTAAATAGAATCTCAGATCTTATCGAATGATAATTCGTATAACATGTACAAGCCCCATCCATTGATTAGAAAAGAACATCATAGACATTCTAGTAGTGAAAAATGACGTCTTATCACGTAGATTTTCTGCGCCACCAATGGAAATTGACCATCAGCTTGAAATCACAATAATGAAGGTTCAAGAAAACTTAATGAAGATTAATTTGCTTCGCTTCCTAATCCTCCAAATTAGGCATAGCCACATTTTCTTTTTTTCATAATCGAAACCAACCTACGAATTTCTTCAAATGCCAAATTTATTATAAATAGTTCCTATCACTGAGCATAAAAATATGATGATGCTTACTAGGAAAAAACAGAGTATTAATAGGGGGGAAAAAAACGAAGGAAACGACTATGCTACACAGTAACTTGCACACGTGTCACCTTATGGTTGGCCTAATGGGATAAGCAAAACCAAGCCCCAACTTTACTCAACTTTACTCCAATAATCGAATATCATCACCGAATTTTATTCTTGATATTAAATAAGATATTTACAATTGACCGAGATTTTTCAGATTTTAATTAAATATTTTTTTTTTTCGCGAAATAGAATTTAAATTCCCCCGACTCGGAACACGCGAGGAGCGAAGAAGACCACCCCACCCAAACCGAACCAAACGAACCCTAACGCTCGATTTTCTCGGGAAAAAGAAAAAAAAGGGTGGGAAAAGGGAGGAGGAGGAAGGAGCTCCCCCCTTCAATTTTGACGGGAAAATCTGCGGGGGAAAATCTGCCGGGAAAATCTGCGGGGGAAAATGCAGCATCACCGGCTGAAGCAGCAGCAGCAGCAGCAGCAGCAGCAGCAGGCCTTGATGCAGCAAGCCCTTCTCCAGCAGCAGTCGCTCTACCACCCGGGCCTCTTGGCTCCTCCTCCTCCTCCTCCTCAGGTAACCACGCGTCTCGCCCGCCCCGTCGCGCGTTTGGTGTTTTCTCGGTCGGAGCTCGCGAGATTGTTGTCGGATGCGTTCGTGACCCTCCCGAGCTCGCGATCGCGATGGTTCCGGGTGTTCGGGGTGGGGGTTTTGATCGGAGTGAGGTGATGGAGTGTGAACAGTTTGATCAAAATCTGGTCTTTGTCTTCTTGTGGGGGTCGGACCGTGTTGTTAGACAAAGGGTTTGAGGTCGCAGGGAAGTGGTTTGTTTGTATAAAATTTGTGCAGCTTAGGGTCCTGCAGCGCTTGTTCTTGGATACCCTTTGAGTGCTTGTGCTTGTGTAGTTGCGATTTTCTTTGTTAGATATGGTGAAGACGTCTTTTTAAGTAGGTTAGTTATCAAGAAGAAGGTGGGAATGAGGTGCGGCTTCCCGTCTTTCGTTCTTCAGTTCCATCTATCAGAAAACGAATGATCCGTGCAGTTTGTCGAGTTCGCTGATTGCCACCCATTAGGTACTGATTCTAGAGTCGAAGAGCAATTGCTGCAGGGTCTGTAAATTTAAAACTTAATGGTATGCTGCAGGGTCCAAACATGATCTTTGACCCTTTTGAAAGACATTCAATTGCTCGACGTGAAAATTGTTTCTTTTTCGGCTTCAGCTTATGGGGTGGTCTGTAAATTGCTCTAATTCCCTTGAGATACTAGGAAGAACTGAGAGCAAATGACCACTTACATTGCAACTTACAAGCTTCTATCTGGTAAAGGTCAACTGCTACTTGACCATAAACTCTTCCTTTGATTGTCTTTTCCAAGACTGGGCACTTCTACTGCCACTGTAAGAAGGCCGCCATGTCATTTCACCTTTCTTTGGCTGTGCAAGCTTATTTAATCCTCCATCCATCCACTTCGTGAGGGTTAGGGTGAATAACTTGAGTTGATGGACTTACGGTGGTATGCTTAAGCTTCAGCTCGTTTACCTTATATTCTAAAGGAGAGAACACAGAAGCTCTCTGCAAACGGTTTAGATGGAACTTAAAAAAATAGTTCACTAAGAAGGAGAATAAGAAAATATTCTCTTTTATCCAAGACATTATGCTTGGCAGAATTTTTTGAACTCCATTAAAACTCTGCGAATATTCCCTTAAGCAGGATATGGAGTTAATTCCTTCTATATTCATCTGTCTTCCTATACTCTTGTTAAGTACACGGTTGTTGTTCGTGTAGTGTTACTTTAGATAGGGTATATGAGAAACTTTTGATGATTAGTCAAGCAAAAGTAGAAGGACTTTTGAGAATTTCCAGTCATTGAGATGGAAGAATTATGGGTCATGGGTGAATGATGCAAAGATTGGGATGGTGAATTATGCGGTGAGGCCTGTGGCATCATGGAATTTGTGGCATCCGGTTATTAGTGAGCATGAGTGAGGTAAAAAGCTAGCAAAAGAGGAGAATGGGTTTGGGGGATTAGGGCTAGTGGCACAGAATAAGATTGGATCACGGCAAAGATGGTGATGATGGGCTGGAATTATATTTGTTCAGAAATTACTTGTAATGCAGTATTGACAACATTTGACAAGTTGACATATAGATGTAGTACTGTGCAAGCACGATAAATTTCTATTGTGTGGCAAGGCATGGGTTGAAGGAGCAACCGTTGCAGATATTGAAATTTTAAGTATTTGAGATTATCATTATGTGAGAAGAGGTGAAGATAGGGAATACTTTCATAGAATATATCCTCACAAATGATAATTGGTTGAGGATTTTGTTTTATTCCATGTTTAGTGTATTTAGTTGGAATATTTGGTCTTTCTCTTTGTCCTTGGAAACTTTCAGATTATGCGTTTTGTGAAGCTCCCGCTAGGCACTAAGTCATTCTTTCTTAGAAAATTTGATCAATGCTCTAGCTATGCATTAATAAATATCCTGACTAGATCACAGAAGTTTTTGTTGGGACTTGATGTTAGAAGTTGGTTATTACAGCTCACTATTATTGCTTTAATGGTGTAATTTAGTTTGCAGATTATGAATTCTTTGGAATGGCTGTTTGTTGGACTCTCTTTGTTAATCTTCTTTCTTATCTTGTCTTGCCCATTATGGATCATTATTTTTTGCACGAATCTTGGTTCATCTTTGCCTGCTTAATTAGGTATTACCATGATATCTCTTTGTCTTTGGATTAGAATACTCTCAAACAAAGCAACGTTCCCTACTTTTTTTGTTCTTTCGTTTGAATTTTCTTTTCCTCCTATTGTTCTGCAGATTGAACCGATTGCAAGTGGAAATCTGCCTCCTGGTTTTGATCCAAGTACTTGCCGCAGTGTGTGAGTCTTTGTCTAGACCTTCCTCCATACTTTTATTTCCATTTCTCTGTTTCATTTGCCTGTTTATTAGTTGTCATATTTCTTTGGTTACCTCAAATTGAGTAGCTATGTAAGGCTCAGATTTGTGCAGTGAATAATTGCTCATATATGCTCATTGATTGTAAATCTTCTGACATCAACACTTTTGCTTGAAGATGCACCGAAATTTTTCTTATGAGTTTTCTTACATCCTTGTTTGGACTTAACTCAGGGACACTAGGAGTTCATTTTTTGTTTTCAAATTCTCGAGTTAGAAACTTATTGTTCTTGGTTCATTGTATAATGCAGCTATGTGGGAAACATTCATACTCAGGTGACAGAACCACTTCTTCAAGAGGTTTTTGCTAGTACAGGTCCTGTTGAGGGCTGCAAACTTATTAGAAAGGAGAAGGTATAGGTTACGATTTGAAAGTTAGATTTTTTTCTGTATTTGGGTTTTGATGAATTGCCGAAGCACCTGGAAAAAATAAACAGAAATGATAGAATCTGTTGCTTGGATGTTGTCTATTGCTAAAATTTCTGTTTTCCCTGCTATACACAGTCGTCATATGGGTTTATTCACTACTTTGATCAAAGATCCGCTGCTCTCGCGATTCTTTCTCTGAATGGAAGGCATCTGTGAGTAGAAACTATACTGGATTTTTAGTTACCTATGTTACAATTACAACTTGAGCCATCATGCCATTGGATTACTCTCTTTTTGCTGAGCTTGTCCTATTCCACGGCTTGCAGATTTGGGCAACCCATCAAAGTTAATTGGGCATATGCCAGTGGTCAGAGAGAGGATACTTCAGGTTTGCTCTGGTTCTTGTTCTACAATAGTATATTATTACGTTCTCATGGTGCTATAATACTTTTTTTCATCGTTGCTTCATATAACTACCTTTTGGATGTGTAGGCCATTACAACATTTTTGTTGGCGACCTCAGTGCTGAGGTGACGGATGCCATGTTATTTGCATGCTTTTCTGTTTATCCCAGCTGTTCGTAAGTTTCACATCTCCTTATCTTGGTTTTTTTTCCTGAAAGTGCAAACTTTCTAGTAAAAAAGACCTAGTAAAAAGAAATTATGATAGCGTTATGCATTCTCGTCAGTCAAGTTAAAATGTATGTGGTATTAAATTGGACCTTTGTGCTAAATCACAGAGATGCACGGGTTATGTGGGATCAGAAGACTGGACGTTCAAGAGGGTTCGGCTTTGTTTCTTTCAGGAACCAACAGGTGCTTTATTGCATTCTCCTGAACCTATTGTCGTTTCCTACATCTATATGTTCTACATCCATTATACACATATATATTCTATTGTACCGAATCTCCAGTATTAAGGTTGTCTGTTAATTTGTGGTGGTTCTGTTTGTGTTCAGGATGCCCAGAGTGCAATAAATGATTTGACCGGTAACTGTTCTGCCTTCTGAACAAAACTATTTTTCTGACACTTACATGTGTTATGGCCGTCCATGTTAAGGAGATTTCCTTCTTTATCTTGGATATTGGAATAGTGAAACAGATGAACTATTAATACTGAAGTTCAGATTTTCTTAAAGAGACTATTGAAACTTCCAGACATATTTCTTTCTTGGATCTTAATCATGCTGTTTCCCTCAGATACCTAGATTGGCTCGATGTCTTGGGGGTAAGAAATTAACGGAGGTCCTCAATTTTGAGCCATTTTTCATTTTTAAATATATGTGGTTGTCTTTTGCCAAAAGAAAAGGAAATTTAGGGTTGTCACAAAACTTTATTACATTTTTGTTCCATTCACAATTTTACAAAAATCAATGCGGTTGTCCGCTCAAGGCACATTGTTAATCCAATGGCATAAAAAAATTTGACAAATAGGTGATGCCTTTTTGTTTGCTATTTTGTGAGCACATTGATTACTGTAGATTTGGATGATGCATCATATTTAATAGGCCCTGTGGGTCAATTAAAGATCACTTTGTGTTAGAAATTTGGACATAGTAAGAAGAAGTTGGCAACAATTGAATTGTTTTGGATGGTATAGTGGAAGTTCAGTGGTTCAGTGAAATGTCAGAAAGTTGAACATTCTTCCCTGGTAATTACATGATGGCTAGTTCTTTTTACTGTCTCCATGTATTCTTGCTTTATATTTCAGGGAAATGGCTTGGCAGTAGACAGATCCGTTGCAATTGGGCAACAAAGGGTGCTGGTGGCATTGAAGATAAGCAGAGCTCTGATGCCAAGAGTGTGGTGGAGCTAACCAATGGCTCATCAGGTTAGCCAATTTTTGGAACAAAATTTTCTTGGATTCATCTTGGCTGATATGCGATGCTTGAAGGAACAAGCACTTTAAGTTTTACTGCCTGAGTCATTGTATTATCAACTGTTATAAGCATTTTCTTTCTCATGATTGAATCACGTATCATCTACTCTCTCTTTTTTTTTTCATTGCAGAGGATGGTAAGGAGGGTACAAACAGTGATGCTCCGGAAAATAATCCTCAGTATACAACTGTTTATGTAGGAAATTTAGCTTCAGAGGCAAGACTGATCCCTCTTTCTTTGTACTATCCTTTGGTGATGCTGTCCATATGGTTGATTTTTAAGTAATTTGGGGGCAAATCAAAGTGGATTTTTCCAGATTATCTGTAGGGAAAACTAGTATTTTCATCATGAACTGGGGGTACTGTAAAATTTGCATCGCGTGTTATTAAAATTACGCTTTACATCTTCATATTGACATTACAACACTAGCCATCTGGGCCTTATACTTTTTGTGACCAGTAATAAAATTGTATCAAAAGAAACTGTGAAAATTTTTATTGAGAAAGTTCTAATTCTTTTCATGTTTTCTTCATATCAGATTGAATTGTATTTTTTTCCTCTTCATTAGTTAATTTGATGCTAACTTTTGCAATAAGTAAATGTGGAAGTATTGTATTATGCTCTTTGAGCGCCAACATTACGAGGAGACAAAGTCTCACGAGAAGGTTAGATAATTTCAGTTTACACAATTCAACAATGATTAGAAGACAAATTAGAATTAGAGTTGAAAAAAATGCTTTAATTAATTTCAAATGAAATTGCATATAATTGTATAGGTGATTGCACATGAATCGTATAGTTCTTGGAGAAGTATAAGAAAATAAATAATTTTTTAAATGCTAATTCCATCCACCCTATTTATCTCATTCTGCGAATCTTTCTCAATTTGCTTACATGATAATTGTTGTGGGAAAATTAAGTGGTAAACCAAATCATATTAGAGATTATTTGGATTGATCTTTTTTTTTCTTTCAAATTTTCAGTTTTCAGTATTTGAGCTTTGACTTCTGTTTGTTGTTGACCACTTCGAATTTCTAAAACTAAATAATACGAACTTTTGAGATCTCTTGAAGTCATTAAAATTTTTCTTGGAGTTTTTTAAAATTAACGTTCTTTTTTAAATTTACGTGAAAGATGGTTCTCCTCTTTGAAAATTTCATATTTTCTTACTTAGTGTTTTTAGTTTTTTAAAAAAATAATAAAAGAAAGAATTGTCTGAATAAAAGATGAATACTTCGTTTAACCGCATGTCAACACTGATAGTCCCCTTGCTTTTGCACCAAGATACATATATAGTATTAGATTAAGTTAACTATAATTAATGCAACCACATTGAGCGTGTCCATACCGAAGTAATTTTTTGAGGCTAATTTATTCTGTTATACTTTTTATCATAAGCTATTTGATGTCGGTACTACATTAGTTCATACTTGGAGCGGTATTTAGCGGAGAGAATTCAGGAAGTGGGTTTGCGAAGAGTAGGTGAATGAGTAGAGAGGAAGAGCTGATGAGCTTATTCTATTTCTATCAAAGTTAAACCTGCTTATATGGAAAATGGCTCCGACAATTGCAAGCTTAAATTTGGCCTTTCAAGTGATTAAAATGACACTTGTAAGTATTCGGATTTTTTGGTGATGGGCATTTACAAGAGATTGTGGAGGTTATGAAATAGGAGGTAGTTTTGTGAACTATGACTTGTAAAGTGTTATTTCTTTTGAAATGATCGGGTGCATCTTACCCCATGGAACATGATACAATATGCAGTTTTCCCATATGTCTTTTGTTCAAGTTTAGTTCACTATACCGCCTAGGAAAGGCTGTCATTATGACTTGGCAAAATTTATGCTATAATTGAATCATTATAAATATGTGTGTGTGCACGTGAGCTCATATAAAATGACTGTATAGGCTCATTTCAGAAATTATTTCACCAATTTTTTTGGGGAAATTCTCAGTCATTTTAAATTTGCAGGTCACTCAGCTTGAACTCCATCGCCATTTTCATGCTCTTGGTGCTGGAGTGATTGAGGAGGTTCGGGTCCAAAGAGATAAAGGATTTGGTTTCGTGAGGTATAGTACTCATGCAGAAGCAGCATTGGCCATTCAAATGGGAAATACTCAGTCACTTCTATGTGGAAGACAAATTAAGGTGTGTTCTTGGGCTTGTTAAATGAAGAGCATTAGAAATGAAGAGCGTTATTACTAATGCTCTTCATTTTGTAATTTTTTATTTCAGAGTGCTGATGGTTTGAAAAGCATCTGTTCCATAGAAAATGTAGTGGGAGATTATTAATTCTGCAGTTATGCTGATATAAGTTGAAATTATCGCACTTTTTTCCTTTTCCTGATCGTAAATCGGACTACCTCCCATAGTTAACCTTTGGTCAAAAACCTCATTTTTGTTTACACCGAGATTTGAATCCAAGTTGTCTTTGAGTTTTGTGTATTTAGTGACTGCACTAAACCGTTTTGGATGAGCTTAGTGCTCTTTGACTTAGGACAGTTGAATTTAAACTCAATCTGTAAATGCTGTAGCTATGACTTCATCAGCATGTTGTGCCACAACATGTTTGGCCATGCCTCTTATCCTCTAAAAGGATAAGCAAAGGTGGCATGTGTTATGGTAATATGACATGGTTCTCTGGCAATACAAGTGAAGTGTTCTTATCTCTTCAATAATTTAGATGGGCTTTTCGTGGCATATAGTTTTAGATATAATTGCTGTCCGCATCTTGGCAGTGGTAAAAATAGATCAGGGGATCTAGCATGTGAAAACGGTAGTTAATACAAGACTTCGTCCCCCTGGTGTTTTCGATTGAACTTAAGCTGACTTCTGATTTGTTTGTGCTTGCAGTGTTCCTGGGGTAGCAAGCCTACTCCCCCAGGAACAAGCTCCAATCCCCTTCCTCCACCTGCTGCAGCGGCACCATTACCAGGCCTTTCTACTGCTGAACTATTAGCCTACGAGCGACAATTGGCAATGAGCAAGATGGGTGGCATGCATCCTCTCATGCAAGGACAGCATCCTCTCAAGCAGGCAGCGATGGGTATGGGAGTTGCTGGTGGAAGCCAGGCAATATATGATGGTGGGTTTCAAAATGTTGCGGCTGCCCAGCAGCTCATGTATTATCAGTAACATGCCTGGTTTTTGGCTTAATGGTTCAAGGGGGAACAGAGAGAGAGAGAGAGAGAGGAACTTTTCTTGGGCTACATATATATTATTGAGAGTTTATGACCTCTAGGAAGTCGCCGATGTTTGCCGTTTCTGTGCATGTTACCCTTTTCGATCTGTTCCCGTCATCTGTATGTTATTCTATTTATGTATCTGTATGGTTGGCTACTCAGAAATGAATCCATGTCTCTTTGGACCATTTTCCCCCCGAGGTTCTTTTGCTTGTTAGAGGTGGATTGCACTTATTATTTGGACGCATTCTATTTCTACTGAATGAAGGCGAATCACATCTTCAAAAACTGTGAGACTTGTGCCGTTTTAAATGAAGGCAAATCACATCAAGTCTTGTAGATGTATCTACTAAAAGTCACATCTCAAAAAACTGTGAGACTCGCTATTGACAGCATTATAGGCGCGTTGATAGTATATAGCCCATGCGATATGATTTTTGATATAGTGAGATTCGCACACTGAATTGCATGGTGTCGTGATACATGCGGATGAGGTTAATATTTTAACTTTTAAAAGAAATTAGAAAAAATTGAGTTGTTTCAGTATTCTCATTAATATATATGTGAGAATTGAACGGTTCGTGTAAAAGATGGCACACTTTTGATGTTAGAAACGGAAAAAAAACAAAAACATAATGTTGTGATTAATCTGTTAATCAAGCTGATGATTAATCCGTTTCTATTTTTCTAGAGTGTTGTGCAAAAATAAGACATAATGTAGAATAATTTTTTTTTCTTATTTGGAAAAGTTGAGTGAAAATGTTTCAGCATGAGAGAGAAATAGGAAAGGCTGTATGTGTCTGTATATACACAGAAATAGAGAACTTTTAATAATTTAAATTATTACAGATATTTGGAGATTGAAAATTCAAAGAAGATATGTTGTTTAAAATGTTTGTGGGTTTTTTTTTCATGGACATCCCATTGACAACTGAAATTCACGATTTTGCTTATTACAATACGAAATAACATCGTACTATCCCACCCAACAGAACGATAAGGATGGGGCCTTTTCGGTAAAAGAGTGATGTCGAAAAGTTGATGTGGGCAGGTTAAAGATGCTGTATTAATAATATCACAAAAAATTTCAAATTGATACACTTAAAATAAATTTACTTCAAATTAATTTTTTGACGTTCAAAAACCCCAAACTGATATATTCGTGATAAATTTACTCTAAACTAATTTTTTGACCATAAAAAACCTCAAATTGGTATACTTGTGAAAAATTTATCCACAATTTCATTAAATTGGATTAATACCACCAAAAACCCTAAACTAGTATACCTATCGATTGCCACGTGTCATCAAACTTAGCAATTTGACATTAAAATTTAACGGAACGGAGGGTAAATTTGTTACAAGTGTACTGGTTTGGGGTTTTTGGTGATTAAGAAATTAATTTGGAGTAAATTTATTATAGGTATATCGATTTGGGTTTTTTTTTTTGTGGTATTACTATTAACCCTATTTATTAATTAGAAGCTGGTGGGGATCGACCCCCGATTATAAAAAGCTTGCTTTGGTGCCTGCCAATTCACCATCCAATACAACCCTTCTTCCCCAATCATTCGAGCTCAGACACTCCAATTTTCCCTTTCCTTATCTTTCCCCTGAACTGGCCATTTCCAATGTCTTAGGCAAATCACACCTCTTGAGGCTTGAGCGCCCCGAAACTGAACGGCCATCGCCGTGAGCCTCCATTTCGCGGGTGTACGATCCCGTTTTCTTGAGCCCGCTCGTGTTGCGCAGAATTCCTCCGATCGGTTCCTTCTGGAGGCATCCGAGGGACTGGGACCGCGAAATCCTCTGGCAAAGACTTTGTCTTGGGTCTGCACGTTGTCTTCTTGGAGACGACGACGAGGAAATGGCGAGACGGGTGAGATGTGGGATCCAGAAGTTGGAATTTCACCGCTCAATGCCGGGAGGAGCAGTGGAGCTTCATCACCGAGCGAACCGCTCCAAGCAAGGATGATGAAGGATGAGTCCCATATCGTGGGTCGCGAAGATTTTGTGATCGAACTCGTGTCGCAGTTGATCGATAAAAGAGGCGACTGTGCCAACCTGAGAGTGATTTCGGTGGTCGGCGAGGAAGCCATCGGCAAAACAGCTCTAGTGAGGAGCGTCTACAACCGAGCGGACATTAAGAATCATTTCGACCGCTGTGCTTGGGTCCGGGTTGGGCCGGAACCTAACCTGGTTCAGCTCATGGTCGCCTTGCTCAAGCAGCTGAGCGTCGTCTTGCTCAAGCAGCTGGGGGTCCGGGAATTGCGAGATGTGGACCGTCTGAAGGAAGAAGAGCTATCCAATTTGCTCCAACGAGTCCTGCTGGAGTGCTGTTATCTGGTAGTCCTGGATGACTTGTGCAAGCTCCATCTCATGGACAAGCTCATAATGGTGCTTGCGGACTCGAGGAATGGGAGCAGAGTAATCGTCACGACTCTTAACCGCGACATACCCTCTTCCATTGATCCGTGGTATTCCACGCATCTCGAGTTGAGCCCCCTTAACCGAGAACAGAGCGAGAAGTTATTGAAAAAATGCTGCCATCCTTTCGATGTGGTCGATCCGCCTGTGAAACTCCTCCATCTCAAAGAGAGGATTGTTAGCAAATCGGGCGGTTCTCCCGCAAAGATCCTGCTACTCGGAGGACTTTTATCAACCACCTCGTCGGATAGATGCACCGAGCTTACCTCGTTAAATAGATGCACCGAGCTTGTCAATCTGCTTGCCAATGGGCTTACCGATTGTCCCACACTCCAAGATGTTGCGCATTTGAGTTTTGCTAAACTGCCAGAACCGTTCAAGCAATGTGCTCTGTACTTGGCTCTGTTCCCTAAGGAATCTGAGATTCCCACGAGGAGGCTCTTCAGACTCTGGTCAGCTGAAAAAAATCTAGTATCTTCACCGTCAGAGAACGGAGTAACCGGATTTGATGCAGAGAAATGTTTCAGGGATCTGGTGAGGAGAAACATGGTTCATGTAGTTCGATGGAAATGGGATGGAAGTGCCCGAACTTGCCGCTTGCCCAGAACGTTGTACGATGTCTTTTATCAGATGGCTAAGAATGAAGGATTCCTCAAGATCTATGACTGCTCTATTCATTATGAAGGTAAGTTCGATGCCCCGCGTATCGCCATACATAGGGATATTTCTAGAGGAGCAGAAGCAGAGGTGCAAGTAAATGTGCCGGAAGCAGGACCAGACAATTCCATGCCGTGCGGCACTGGACAACTTCGTTGCTACGTGTCATTCAATACTGTGAAGCTAGGAACAAGGGCCGGAGAGATAGCGCTGTTACTTAGACCACTTGTGCCGAAGAGAGACTCGAGTTTGCTGAGTGTACTTGATCTCGAGGGTGTCTACAAGCCTTTGCTTCCGGAGGAGCTTGGCGAAATATTGCCGAACCTACAGTACTTGGGACTGAGATGGACTCTTCTTGAATGGCTTCCGGCGTCAGTGGCGCAATTGTTACACCTGGAAACTTTGGATCTGAAGTACACTAACATAAAATATGTGCCGGATTCAATCTTGGAGGCAGAGCATCTGCGACACCTATACATGACCGAGGTGAGCTTGGATGACGCCGCTCGTCGTCATCAATTGCAATCCAATAAATCATTAAACTGCAACATCCAAACCATTTGGGGCTTAGTCATAAAAGATGATAGTCCCATGTTGAAAGTGCTGGGCAAGTTGACAGGCCTAATGAAGCTGGCTCTGACGTGCGATGGCAAGACGGTATCGGGAGCAACCAAGCATATTAAGAATCTGGAGATGCTTAAATCCCTCAGATTGCGATTGAAGGATCGATCCGGCGTGCCTTTGATTGACGATGTTGAAGATCAAATGAGTGAAATGAATGGCATGAGTGGGCTCGAGTCTCTTTCCAACTTGCACCTGCTCGGATATTTGGGCATGCAAAGCTTGTTGGAGTCGCACATCCCACCGAACCTAAAAGTACTTACCTTGTCCATGTCGAGACTAGAAGGCGATCCGATGGGAGTCCTGGGGAAGCTGAAATGTTTGACCGCTCTCCGATTATTTGCGTCCTCATACGAGGGCAAGACATTGAGCGTCTCAGCAGGAACATTTCCGAGCCTCCGTGTATTGAAACTGTGGAAGCTGGAGAACCTGACCGAGTGGACTATACAGGAAAATGCAATGCAGTGCCTCGAAGACTTGGAAATTAAGGACTGCAAGAAGCTGAAGACGATCGACGGACTGTGGCAGATTGAAACCTTGGAAGTAATCACATTGGTAAGAGTGCCGGATGAACTCGAGCGAAGTGTCAGAGCAATGCAGCCGAATGTGCCAATTATAGCGAAGAAATTGCCGCAGGTAGCTCTCTTTCTTCTTTTGGTCTACATGTTTGTTAGACACTTCAGTTGCCATCCACAGTCCACACCACAGGGAACAACATTTCCTGACCGTGCAAATAACAATTTGCTTGATTTAACTCCCAGTACTCGCATTATCGAGAATGTAGAAAGGTGCTCCTTTTATAGCTTAATGGTGTTCATGTTATTTTGTTCAGAAAAAAAGGGGGGTGTTAGTCACCGAATTTCATACGCGTGCCAATAACAAATAAGCGTGGTATGTGTGTGTGAGCGTGCTTGCGGTTTTACCTCATGGAACATAGTTAAAGCTTTTATAGCGTCAGTGGCGATGGATTGTTTTAGTGTCGCGGTTCATTATGAACACAAGTCTGTGTTCTTGATCATGAACAGGATGAAATAGAGGAGGAGGAGCAATCAGATGAAGAAGACGGCAAACGATGAGAAGACGAAGATGACCATGGGGAATGACTCCGAATCACGTCTCGAGGAAGATGGTGATGATGATGATATTGATTATTGTGAATAAAATGATTGTATTAGAGATTCTCACGATTTTTTTCTAGGATATTTTCCTATGTTAAAGACAATTATGATATTTCTGTTGATCTTTTATATCTTTCAAGATTGCGCATATATCTCTCTTTGATTGTGAATATCTTTATTTGATTATTTCAAATAGTCATCTAAAAAAACATTTATTGAAATATTCTGAAATTTCACAACTTCTTTTTTCTACATATTATTTCTTGTTTATGATAATGTGGACCGTAGAGCTAAATAAGAATTCACTTTAATTAATAAAAGAGATACTTTTGTGGTAAATTTTACTTTGAAGAATTAATATAGTGTCCGCAGGCTATGTAATTACCATCATCGTGGCCTCTGTCGCACGAATTAATTATGACATCACTCATTATTTACATTTATCGCCATGATGCATGTCGGCATTCTTAACTAGGACCGGTAAAGGTGCCGCATCAATTTCGGAGTACATTATTGGGACAACACAATATGCCAATTAAATCCTAAACCTTTCAATTTGATCAATTTGTTCATAAACATTTTGACAATTTGCCAATGTAATTATTCCGTTCCGTTTTGGGCTTTCTCACGTAATTTGTGTACGAAAAATTAACATCTTAAAATTTTTTACAAATTGTCTTTGTAAGAAATATTTGAATTATTTGTTCATACAAAGAGATTATTAAACATAATACAAAGCAATTGTACATATATATAATAAGAGAAAAATATATCAATATCTGAATTTTTTTTTGTAAGGTAGTTTATAAAATAGAAAAGATTCAAAATTTAAAACTGAAGTATGTTAAGGATGAGATATAATTATTAATTTACACATTTAACTATTGATAAAATATTTATAAGATAATCAATGAGGATATTTTTAGAAGAAAAACCGATGGTGATCCTGTACAAATGGAGGGTTCTCTTTACTTTGTATAATAGTATAAACGATTATTTTTTTAGACCAGAGACATAATTGACTTTCCGACATGCAACGTGATTGCAGCAAATTGTCCATTCATTTAATTGGGAAATGAGTTACCTTATTGAGCCGTAGCCTGGACGATTCTATTATTCCGTTTGAAATACATAAACATTCTCGATATCAGTAACTCTTTAGAAACATTGGTTCACCGCAAATGCTGTTGGTTTACAAGAGGGTGTCTAGAAAATTGTTAGTTGAGTAAGTTATTAGTAGGTCACCAATTCGGATGTTAAATCACCAATATCTATTTGACTGTCTACAAACTACCGACAGTTCCAATAAATTACCAACTTTTATCTGCATAACGCACCAACATATCAAAGTTACCCACTTAATTTGAGTGAGTTACCAGCTTTCTCTATAAATCTATCAGTTTTTTTTTATTATCAATTCTTATTTGAATCGCTTACCAACATATGTTACTTGATCAACTTCGAATTACCAACTTTTCTTATAACTTGCCAACTTTTATAGAATTTATTGACTCTTAATCAAATTGGAAAAATTACCAAGAAAGTCCTAAATCTATTGCACTTATTCCAATTCGGTCATAAACCTTTTAATTTGACTGGAAATCATTGACGCAAACATTGGTCGTCCTACGTGGCATGACTGACGTTGACCTAAATAATTTATAGAAATTTTTTGTATTTTTTTTAAAATTTTTCCTTTTTTCCCTTTTTCTTCCTTTCTTTTTTTTTTCCTTTATTCTTTTTTTCCCTTTTCTTTTTGCCAATGGCCGTTCGCCGGCCATCGGCCATAGGCAATGTTTGGCAAGGCCAACCCCTCGCTCAAGCAAGGCTCGATAAGGCCGACCCTCGCTTAGGCCAGGGTAGCCTTGCCCTGGCCAGCCATCTCCTATGGTCGGTGGCCGACGAACGGCCACTGGAAAAAAGAAAAGGGAAAGAAAAAAGAAAGGATAAAAAGGATAAAAAAAGGAAAAAAAATAAGAAAATTTTTAAATTTTTTTTAAAAATTATCCATGTCAATGTCGGTCGTGCCAAGTAAAATGGCCAGAATTGGCTGAATGGATTAAATTGACAAATTGTCAAAATATTTAGGACTAATTTGGCACAAGCGCAAAATGTTTAGGACTTTCTTGTAATTTTCCCTAATCAAATTACCCCCTTTATTTAAGTTATTTATCAACATTTTTTCAATAAAGTCACCAACTAGTCTGTTATTGTAGCCATTTGCCAACATTTATATGATCATCCGAATTACCAACTATTATAACAACATGCCAATTTTTGTGGAAGTTGTCCATTCTTATTGGAAGTTACCAACTTTATTTGTGTTACCAACTTTTTCGTAGACGAAATTAGTATTCATTTTTACATTACTAACTTTTATTTAGACACTTGCCGACATATTTAAATCGATTTTGGCACTATAAAGGCTTATAGCTTGCCCACTTTCAAATGACGTACTCATCACTGTGAGGAAATTGGTTTACCGTCTACTACACATACCCCTCTCTCTCTCTCTCTCTCTCTCTCTCTCTCTCTCTCTATCTGTGGTTTTGATTTGTTACGAGACACAGTTTGTGTTGAAGACAGTCCATCCGTCCATCGAGGGCAGCGTTTTTAACCGCTCACCATGCTAACGATTGGTATGTCGCAATTCAACGAGAACTAGAAACGTTTAATGTAGTGATACTTTTGAAAAAACCTGAAGAAGATGTTGACATCCGCTCAGTATTTTATTCATTCACTGTCTATATTATGCCTTCTTCGCATAGCTAAGCCATGAGTCGCATTTTGCTGGTTAACCGATACATCGTCCATTTGTCCTCTAATGACTGCTATAGCCTGCGAAAGCTTGCCGTGTTTCCTGCTTGAGTCATTACTTTCCCTCTCTCCATTAGCCCTTAGTCCTCATCTCTGAATCATTCGGCATCAGCTTATTTGTCACCGGCAACATGTCTTGCAGTCATTACTGGCTTGGTCCTCATGAGGGCGTGGAAGCTGTCGGAGGTGCTCTTTTCTTCGAGCGACGTGTGGAAGGAGTGGGAGTTGAGAGGCGTGGTCTTCTTGAGCCTTGCCCTCCAAATCGTCCTCATTTGTCTTGGCAACCGCCGCAAGTACCTACCTCAGGCTTGGATCGGGGTGGTCACCTGGTCGGCCTACCTATTGGCCGATTCGGTTGCGATCTACGCGGTCGGCATGATCTCCAGCAAGATCTGGGAAATCAAGGCCGGCAAATTGTTCAGCAAGATGGACTCGCACGCAGAGCTAAGCACCTTTTGGGCGCCATTTCTGCTGCTGCACTTGGGGGGCCCCGACACGATTAGCGCCTACGCGATGGAAGACAACGAGCTCTGGCTCAGGCACTCGCTGACGCTGGTGTACCAGACGGGCTTGACACTTTATGTCCTGGTAATGGGATGGACTCATCCTACCCTATCATTCCTTGCCATTCTGATACTGCTCTCGGGTTTCTATAAGTATGGTGAGAGGGTTTGGGTCCTCCGCGCGGCCAGCGACGAGTACTTCAAGGACTCCCTCAACGAGTCCCAACGCCGCCGGAAGGATTCCGACAAGATTGCGGAGGAATTGAAGTTGAAGTGGCGGATTGGGTACGACGTCGTGCCTCATCGAGTAATCGACATAGATAATGATGATGCTATTATGATCGATTTTGCGATCGCCGAATTTTCATCTAAAAAGCTGAGTTCCCGGAAGGACTTGGAGGACCTAGAGTACAAGCGAGTTGTGGGCACAATGCTATCGGCCAGCCGCTTGCTCGACACTAGTCAGCGACTTTTTGCGGATCACTTGTTCAGTATGGAGGAACGCGACAGTAGCCTGTCGATACTGAGCGGCAAGCATTGTGCAGGGGATTTCAAAGTCGTTGAAATCGAACTGGGCCTCATCTACGACCAGTTCTACTCGAAGGCAAAGGCGGTCTATACGCGATGGGGCTTTATTTGTAGACTTGCCATCTTATTCTCGATCTGTGTTGCCCTGGTGCTCTTCTCTTTTACCGACAAGCGATCATACTCAAAGCCGGATATATTCTTAACCTTTCTGTTGCTAGGAGCGGCCATTTTTGTCGAGTTATATGCATTGGCTCACGTTCTTCTCTCTGACCAGCTCGCCTGTTGGCTCATTAAGAACAAGCAATCGCCCTTCTTTAATATTATCAACCGAATCCGACCATTGTTGGGAAGGTGCAGGTGGTCTAATTCCATGGGCCAATACAACCTGATGTCCTTCAAAGAAAATGACTCCTGCTGGTGGAAATTCCTAAAGCTATTGCACATCGAAGAGATGGCGGCGAAGTTTCTCTACCAAACCCACGCGAAAGTGACTGACGATATCAAACAACTAATTCTCTCGAAGATCAAAGAGATGGAAGCGAAGGGCGTGAAGGAACTCCCCGTCCAGATGAAAGACAGGCGATTACATGTGTTGAGCACGCACAAGATGGAGCATGAGTTGCAACAGAGCATCGACGGGGACTTCGATGTGAGCATCCTAGTCTGGCACATAGCCACAGAGCTCTGCTATTACCTCGATGACGGACGGGACAGCATTAAGGAGCAAGAAAGCAATAACCAGAGCCGTGTTAAGGAGAAGTCCTCGATGAGCTTGCGCTTGTCTCGGTACATGCTATATCTCCTATTTATGTGTCCTTCGATGTTGCCAGCCAAAATGGGAAAAACAGTCAGGTTCCGAGACATTTATAAAAAGCCCAACAAGCGTTTCGAACCTAGTCGTGGCCACAATAGGAGAGAGCGCAAGCCCGACATCTGGGCAGAACAGAGGATCGCAGAGGCTCTTAAAGCGTTGCTTGACCAAATGAAGAACTCAGCCACACGTGACGAGTTGCTTGACCGAATGAAGATGTTAGACACATGGAGTTGGAAGGTGTCGACGGAGGACCAATTCAATTCCGTGCTTACCCGAGGGTGCCGGTTGGCGTTCGAGCTGGAGCGCGTCCCGCGTGGGCGGAAATGGTCCGTGATCAGCGAGGTGTGGGTGGAAATGCTGATGTACGCGGCTAACAAGAGCAAAGCGAGGGATCATGCTCACCTGATGCAGCGGGGCGGTGAGCTCATAACCCATGTCTGGCTTCTGATGGCTCATTACGGGCTGACCTACCACTTCCAGATACCGCACGACGAGGCGGCAATAGCAGAGATAATAGTGAATCCCTGGTGAATAGTGGGGATTGAGGATCTGCAGATTAGACAGATTTGTGCTTTATCGATTGTTGGTGTTTCAAATACCAACTTTGAGATGAAAATTGTTATTTTCAATTTCTCGTAGATTTACGCTAATAAAATTGAAGAATAAAAAAAGGTCAACACTTCAATAAATTAATATTGCACATCAAATACCATCTATGAAATTTTATGGGACGCTGCTAACCGTTTTATATTTAAATATTTTACCATTTGAGAAAAGTGGTGATGGAAAATTGCAAATTAGACGGATTCGGCATTTATGGATTATAAGTGTTTCAAATATCACCTTTGAGATGAGATTTGTTATTTTCAGGGTCTCGTTGATGTCTAGGAATAGAATTCAATAATTAAAAAAGCATATAGCAGTTCGACTCTAATGTTGCCAATCAATGCCATCTCATGGATATGTTAAGCCCATAATCACTCGGACAGACTCGAAATTATCGATTGCTGATAATAGTTCGCGCATAACAATAAACATTTGGTGTGCTTGTGAGCATATTGCTCGAGGAGAGGTAACTTCCTCAAGGAAAGCACCTTTTGTGACAATGAACTTTCATTGGTTGAGAAAGAATTTGGGTCTCTTAAGAGACATCCGATAAGAAAGAAACGATGGAGAAACATGTAGAAGAACGATAAAGTTAAGTGAACTGATTGCATATATAGATAAAAATTTTACATGTCTAAAATGGCAGAAAATATATACAGTTTACAGTGGTGATCGGGGCGATGTTTCACGAACTCGACGTAGGTGATAAAGTCGGGCAAATGTTGGAACGAATATAATGCCCTCACATAAGCAAAAAATAACTTGAATTAATCCTCGAGAGGTGTTTAGCTTTTCTTAATGCTCAACTTGAATCGCCAGCGCTTCATGCAAAAGGCAGGAGAGGACACAGAGAGGAGAGACTAGAGAGGTGGGCTAAGGTAGGATATCCCGGATGTGGTGCAATGATTTAAGCTTAAAATTCGCATGAAAAGTATTGACAAATGACATCAAGATGCGCCACCTGTTCGGACAGATCTACCAATTCAAACTTTCACGACAAATAGTTTTCTTTTTAGGTTCCGTTCGTTTGGCGGAAAATATTCTTTCGGAAAATATTTTCCGGGTTTTCCGGTGTTCGGGGGGCGGAAAACGTTTTCCCGTGGAAAAATATTTTCCTTCCCCCTTCACAAAATAGTTTCAAGTCTATGGAAAATGACTTCCGCTTCTTTCGAAATCATTTTTGAGCTTCTTCTTCTTCTTCAAAATACGTTGCCCGGCCGCCCGGCGAAAAATATTTTCCGAAACTTTTTCATATTGGTCGTAGCCGAACAGGGAAAATTATGTTCCGGGAAAACATTTTCCAGGAAAATGACTTCCGGGAAAATATTTTCCAAAAGGAGAATATTTTCCGCCAAACGGAAAATATAACATCTCAAAAGAAATGTTCATTCGTTACCAAGATCCATAGAGAAAATCTCAAAAGTCACCATAACAAGACAAGCCCATAAAACCCCAAAACAAACCAAAAACTAGAAATCAAGATATAACATCATAGCATGGTTGACATAAATAATCACACGCTCGTCCTTCAAAAATAGATTCGTGACTGCATCTCCAAGCGAAAGGATCGACGGCCAATCACCGAATCACACATCATCATCAGTGATGATTACACGTCGGGATCTCCATCTGTAGTTACGGCTTTGCATTTCAGCGGTGTGCGTCTAAGTTCGGCATCTCCAACACCATCACCATACGGAGACAACATAAATATGTTGACCAAGTTCAGATCCGACACCTGTGAGAGCGAGCCCTCTAGCAAGTGCGAAATGCCAAAGCTTTTAACAAAAACACGTTGAACGAGCATATATTTGACACCGAAGCTATTGTGAACACCATTGAAACTAGAGACAGAATACTTATTCATTAAAACTCATAAATCTAAAATTAGATAGGAGAAAAAAACTTCCAGATCTAAGATCGGAAGAGCAAAACTCCCAGATCTAAGATATATGTCTCAAGCTCTGCCCAAGCTGGAGGCAAATCGTCTTTCTTTATTTGATGTCTCCAATATATATACTCTAAAAAAGAATTCTTAGTTGAGATAATTGGCACATGACCAATAAGCAAAATAACAAACCGACGCAAGTCAATTGAAGTCCCGTTTTATCTTTCGTCTCAATTAGCGTCGTCTTTTTTTATGATTAGAGATAAGTGTACTCAATATTGTCACATACTTCCCTCAAGATTCAATAATGTTTCAAGAAGAATTCCACCCCGTCGGTCACTAATCCATTTCCTTTCACAATATTTTGACCATTTTATCCTTTGCAGGTCCCACTTTTTCGGCATCCAAATACACTTCTCCTTGGTCAAATGGGATGTCCCTCGTTTTACTTGGTTTCTTCCTTTTCTTTCCTCGCGGATCCCACTCCTTTTCCTGCCTTTGTGCGTAACAGAGGCCCTGATTTTGGCGAATCTCAAGGCAACAGTAGACGAAGAGGAAGACAATTCCGCCGCGTCGAATCAACTAGAGCATCACCACCTCCAATCAATCAACACTGCTGTGCCGCCCCCGCCATCGGCGGCTTGGCATCCTCGAGCTTGGCTCCGGCACCGGTCTCGTCGGGGTCGCGGCCGCAGTCGCGCTTAGCACCTATGTCACCGTCACCGACCTCCGCACTTGGTCCTCACCCTCCAGTTCAGCGTCGACGCGAGCGCCGGAAACCGGTCATTCCCTCCATCTTTCACAGTCATAGTGAATCCACGGACTCAGAGCACGCGAAAAGCCGGTGGAATAATTTTTAAGAGTTGAAAATCGCTAATTCCTCTTCGAAGAGAGGCCAATTGCAGTGCCCCGAGGAAGGAAAAATGATGGAAGAGATAGAGAGACTCGAGCTGATTATGTTTTGAATTTTGACCGCGGGAGAAGCTTTCCGGAGGCTTTTTCCTTCAGAACCCAGGAGGAAACATGCGCGTCCTTGTCCGTCGATTGATTGGCAGTTGAATACACGAAGCAGCGAAAGCAATAAAATCGAAATGAAAATGAACTACGGAAAACTTTTTCATACGGATTTAGAAATGAAATTTAGATTTGCAGGAAAGAAGACAATAGGTCGGCGAACATTGGAAGGTGGAACTTATCTTGTACTTTTGACATCTACCCTGGAACCTATTCGATTATATTAGTCCCCTCGTGAATTTTCCAAGTCCCCTTGCACATCCACCAGTGAGTAGAGGCCAAGCGGAAGACGGTGCACCCAGAAAAGTCCATTTCCAGGGAGCGAATTGCAAAAAAACTTCTCCTCTTCGCTATCAATTTCTCGCATAAAAACGCTGGGTCTCACATTCAAAACAGCACATGTTATCACAAATTAAAAAAAAAAAAAAAACAACTAGCCTTCATTTTGACATTTTCGTGAAAGATAGCCACGCTCGCACTTATAGCTGTTTCTCCGTATTTATTGTCGTATTTATTGACCCTGATTAGGCGAGAGAACGGACTTTTTGGCATCTTAAGGGACGAATTGATTTGCTCGTTCATGAAGGTTGACATTCTTGGGAGGAGTGTCCTGCATGGTGCGTGAAAAGGCCTATGATGATCGACAGCGATCACGATGAATTCGAGAGTGAATATCACGCGCAATCTTTCTCCTTAGCTTTGCCAAATACTGAAAGATTATCCTTCACTTGAGCGGCTCGATATTAAAAAGAAGGGATTGTGAATCGTTCGTTCTCGCCAGAACTGAACACACACGCACTCTTAAATGGATTCGGAACCTCTGCATAGGACCCGCAAAGGGAAGAGCCCCCAATCAACGCCGCTACTGCTCTAGCGTCGAGCCCATCCAAGAGTTCAATAATTTTAAAAAAAAGAAGAAGAAGGAAAAAAAAAACCTACGAGATGGTATCGCGTGTAACATAAAAATCAGGATAAATCGCATGCTTAGGTTATTTACGACATAGATGGAGATCCTTTGTAGTCCCGTAACAGGAAAACCTTTCTTGAAGAACAGAAGGACGTGATTTCTCTCATTGTGTGTTCATGTCACATTTAATGAATATAAAAAAATCTCTTTTGTAATTTTAAGGATAACGTGATCTAGCTACAAGAAGTGCTCCACGGCATCACACTGGTTATGCTTTGCTGAATCATCCTTGGGATGAATAAGAACGCCCCTGAGGATGAGGTTCGACTTTTCATTATAGCGCGTCTCGTGGAGGGCGAAAGAAATCCTCCCCACGGTCTTTGGGCCCATCATGAACTCGCCGGCACGGAGCTTTATCCATTTCCCCCTCGGCTCATTCTTCAGATCCTGCCGGTTGGGCCGTTTGTTCCCTTCGGGCGCATTTGGCAAGTCTAGCTCGAGATTCAACTCCGATGTCCCTAAATTGTCAGGTCCAAGTTTGACCACGAACGCGACCTCATACGTAGTATTGGGAGAAAGCGCTCTTGTGTTGAATCTTCCCTGAATAAAGAGGTAGGATGACTGCTTCAATTTGGGGATGTCTATGTCGACAGCGCTGCGAAAACTGAACCTGGAGAATTTTAGTATTTACAAAATCGCGATCCAACGCACATCAACCGGATATAACATGCGGATGCCACATTGAGTGGTGTTCTAATTTCCTCTTAATCGATCAAATTTGTGAAAGAGGTACCATTTTATTTTCTCGGTGATCCAACTCCAGCGACTTTCTTCATCGCCCCCAGCAATGTCACATGCCTTTGGAAGCACCAGGAAGCAGTTCTTGTGGTGCTTCTTATCGACCCAAAACTTCTGTCAAATCCACTGTCAGGTGAAATTTTTTCCTAGATAATCACTATTACTGATCGTAAGAGTTTTGTTATTATTACACGGACGTGTGATATGTGCCTTTCCAAGTTAAAGAAACGAAACGGTATCATTGAACAAAATCTATGCCTTTGATGTCATCATGCAAATTCTCGCTAACGACTATTTCCTTTTGGAATATGGTGTGCAGTGAACTTAATTAGTTCCTGGATTGGTTCAATTTTATCGCGTAAAATGTCCTTCAAGACCCCATGTGATTGTTAGACTGACCTGACCACACATCTTGCAGTTAGTACATGGATAGATAGATGGAGTTGAGAGGGAAATGGGACTTTGCCTGTGTATTTTCCTCCAAGAGCACTCCCTCGTATACGACGTCGCGCCAATCCTTCATGTCAATGGACGAAATGTCGGTTGGTGTGGTCGCTTTTCTCATGAGGGCTAAACTGTTGAGGGAAGGCCTTCGCTCCTCTTCTCTGCTAATTTCCTCCTTAGCTGAAGTTGAAGCACCATTTTTTGCAGCTCCTGCTTCCATTTTCTTTCTAGGATTTAGAGTACCTGTGGCAGTACATATTAATGAGCTTATCGCAATTGTACACACAAAAAGGACAAGAAAATATGAGGAAAATCTCATTTACCAATTCCGTGATGTGCTTCGTTTCGAGTAGGAACATCGAACTCTTTGAGTTATCACAAGTAAGTTCAGGGAGCCATCCAACGTTTTGCTTGCTATGGACACAAGAAAAACAGAGCGATCAGAGGAAAGACGCAGGGTTCTATCATCCCTTCTATGACCTGGAGGGTTGTATATCGTGCAACTTGCAGAGGACGACGAAGAACAAGTCAACCTCAGCAAGAAAGGCTTGTTGTCGCATGCTCACGTAGAGTTATTCATCCAATCGACTGACCTCCTCTTTTTCTCACAATTTTAAGGCACGAACTGATGACGAGGGCAGTTAAAAAATGATGAGTGACGTCTCATCATGCATCTCACCAATCGTTCGGTGCAAGTGTTCATATGTTCACATGACAAGGCTTCTCATGATCGATTTACCCCCTCACGTCTTCTATTACTCCATTAAACAGATTAAGGCGCTTGTTTACGGGCCGGCCACATGGGAGTAGCTCTTCGTATTCACCGTGGGGTCAACATGATCAACGGACCAAATAGACTCGATCCATGATCTATAAATCATGCTATACCAGCTTTTATTCCACGTTGTGAGGCCGTTAAGGTACCGCATGATAATCATTCTGGTTCTGTCCAGAACTGGTTTTTTGTTCCCAGAATCAGTTTTGGACCAGAAACCCGTTTGGTAACGCAATTTCATTTTTCTATTTCTGGGACAAGTTTTTGTTCCAGAACCGATTATGAACCAGAAATCAGAATAAAAAAAAAGTAGGTTTTCTATTTCTAGACCAAAAATGAGAATCATTTCTGAGAGAACTCTTTCTTCAAAACACATATTCATCTGGAAGTCACGATCTTTAAGGTGGGAAAAAAAAGCAAAAAATCAAAAATTTGAAAACTTCACAGAATGGTTTAGAATCTGTGGCTACCTACTTTGAGCGAAATTTAAATTTTTTTAGGTGCCGAAAAAAATAAAAAAAATAAAAAATTGCAAAATTTCACAAAATGGCTTAGAATACCTATGACCACCCATTTTGAGCGAAATTTATTTTTTTTAGATGCCAAAAAAAGTAAAAAATAATAAAAAAAATCTAAAATTTAAAAACTTCACAAAATGTCTTAGAATACCTGTGGCCACCCAATTTGAGAGAAATTTAATTTTTTTTAGGTGCCGAAAAAAATTTAAAAAAACAAAAAATAAAAATTTTCAAAACTTCACAGAATGGCTTAGAATACCTGTGGCCATCCACTTTAAGCGAAATTTAAATTTTTTTAAGTGCCGAAAAAAACAAAAAAAATAAAAAATTTCTAAACTTCACAAAATGGCTTAGAATACCTGTGGCCACCCACTTTGAGCGAAATTTAATTTTTTTTATGCCAAAAAAAATAAAAATAAGCAAAAAAGTAGAAATTTCAAAACTTCACAGAATGGCTTAAAATACCCGTGGCCACCCACTTTGAGCGAAATTTTATTTTTTTAGGTGCCGAAAAAAAATAAAAAAAGCAAAAAATCAAAAATTTCAAAACCTCATAGAATGGCTTAGAATACTTGTGGCCATCCACTTTGAGCAAAATTTGAATTTTTTTAGGTGCCGAAAAAAATAAAAAAATAAAAAATTTCAAAACTTCACAGAATTACTTAGAATACCTGTGGCCACCCATTTTTAGGTGTCGAAAAAAAATAAAAATAAGCAAAAAAGCAAAATTTTCAAAACTTCACAGAATGGCTTAAAATACCTGTGGTCACCCACTGTGAGTGAAATTTTATTTTTTTAGGTGCCGAAAAAAATAAAAAAAATAGAAAATCAAAAATTTCAAAACTTCACATAATGGCTTAGAATACATGTGGCCATCCACTTTGAGTGAAATTTAATTTTCTTTAGGTGCCGAAAAAAAAATTAAAAAATACCATTTGGGCACCAAAAAAAATTAAATTTTACTCAAAGTGGGTGGCTAGAGGCATTCTAAGTCATTCTGTGAAGTTTTGAAATTTTTGATTTTTTATGTTTTTATTTTTTTTTTGCACCGAAAAAAATTTAAATTTCGCTCAAGGTGGATGGCCACATGTATTCTAAGCCATTCTGTGAAGTTTTGAAATTTTTGATTTTTTGCTTTTTTTTCACCTCCAAAAATTAAAATTTCACTCAAAGTGGGTGGCCACAGGTATTCTAAGCCATTCTGTGAAGTTTTAAAATTTTTGAGTTTTTGAATTTTTTTGGGCATCTTAAAAAATTTAAATTTCACTCAAAGTGGGTGGCCACATGTATTATAAACTATTTTGTGAAGTTTTGAAATTTTTAATTTTTTGATTTTTTTTGACACCTAAAAAAATTTAAATTTCACTAAAAGTGGGTGGCCACAGGTATTTTAAGTCATTCTATGAAATTTTGAAATTTTTGATTTTTTGATTTTTTTTGAAAAAATTCAACACATTTCCTATTTTCAGGAAATCTGATTTTTTTTTATTTTTTGGAAATTGTGATGAATTTTTCTAGAATCTTTCAATTTTTTTGGATTTTTTGAATTTTTTGAGATTTTTAGGAATTTTTTGGATTTTCTAATTATTTTTATTCCATTTCTAAAAAAATGGATTTTTGTTCCTGGAAAGAGAATTTTGTGTTGTTTATCAAACAGGTTTTTGTTTCAGGAAATAGAAATTTTATACTCTTATCAAACGGGTTTCTGTTCCAGAAATAGAAATTTTTGGTCGTTATCAAACGGGTTTCTTTTCTCTGAAACTCATCTTGGAACCAGAAATAGAAAAATCTATTTCTGTTTCAGGAACTCGTTCTGGAACAGAATGGTTATCATTCGCTACCTAAGTTATTGATGTTCCATCTTTAGAATTTTCAAACTTTTGTAAGGAAAAAAGACACAATTGGGCTTTGATGGCCTTGTCTGTGCAACTTTCTAGCTAAAATAACCATAGTCTCAACATGAATTCCATGGGTGCGGTGAGTGAAAAAGAATAGTCTGGGCATGGAGCCATGAGATAGTGAGTGGAGACTTAAAAAGAGATCGTTTCGTCGGACTGCTGGCCGTGCCACATAAAATGGTTGGCGATAAGACGTCAGCATTTTCAAGGGAAAATTCACAGGAATGACTGTGTTGAAATTTCGCACAAAGATTTAGGCTGTGTTCGTTTGACGGAAAATTTTCTGGGATTTCCGGTGTACGGGGGTGGAAAACATTTTCGAAAACATTTTCGCTCAATGAGGGAAAACATAAACAAATCTAAGGAAAATGACTTCCTCTTTTTGAGAGGAAGTCATTTTCCACAAATTTTCTTCTTCTTCTTCTTTCACCATTTTTTTTTCAATATTTTCTTTCGCCCTCGGTTGCTGCCCGCCGCTGCCGGTCGCCACCTGGCCGCCTCCGCCGGCGCCGCCGGTCGCTCGCCGCCGCCGCCAATCGCCCGCCGACTCCGCCGTCCGCCGCCGCCGCCGTCCTCCACCGCAAGTCACCGGCTGTTGCCCGCCGGCCACCCGCCGCCGCCGCCGGTGGTAGCCGAACATCAGAAAATATTTTCCGAGACTTTTTCAGATTTCAGCCGAACACTTTTCCGGGAAAATGACTTTTGGAAGAACATTTTCCAAAAACATAACATTTTCCGCCAAACAAATGGAGCCTTAAGATTACATTGGCAAAATTGAAAGATTTTGGATTAAATTGACAACTGTACAAAAGATCACTTCTATATGTAACTTGCGTTAGTAGCACAAGCAAATCTCTCCTTAATTTCGTCTCCGTTTCATCCAATCTTCGTGAATGGAATATTCTAATGATAATATTTATTCAAAATTTTTTTTTTTTTTTTTTTTTTAAAAAAATTTTTATTTTTTTTTTAAAAAAAAAAAAAAAAAAAAAAAATAATCAGACGCTCTTATCCTGAACATCTGCCAAACCAAATACAATCACACCAATCAAAAGAAGAGGCAATACAGTGACAACTGTCTCCTGATCACAACATTGGAACAAATCTTCGGCATTCAGAAGGTCCACGACCCAAATGCACTTCTCACTCCCATATCTCGCTAAGACACTCCTCAATGTCGCGCTTATAAACGAAGTTGCATGGTTTGGCTGCAAATTGAGAAGACAGTCTCATCTTCACCAACCAAATTTCTCTAAATCATTGTCATCTTAACTAAAAGATTTTCCCGTTTTATGGAAATTTTGGGAATCCCATTTTCCTCAAGTTGCTGTGATGTGATAGATCAAATGGAATCTATAATATTAGTATTTTTGTGCATTGAGAGGGAGCCACTACGGAGTTGACATGTGGCCTCTCCTCAGCTGACACTTACCCCAATTGTGTTCTTTTTCTTTTATTCTTAGACCATGTCATTTTTTTTTTTGTTTTACTTGCTTATTCTTACAGTTGCAAACTTAATAATAGTAAGACCATTGGGTCAAAAATAAATTCTTAAAGTGGAATATGAGAGTCCATAATTAATTTGTTCTTTGTCGCTGTAGGAGGTTGCTTCCTTAAAAAAGAAAAAAAAGGCAAATCCAATTTCACTAAGAACATGATTAAATTCTTTATTCATTTTTAGATACATAAGTCAATAAAAAATAACTTATCTAAAACAATTAATCTCCACATGAAATTTAAAAAATTAAGGAAAAATTCCAAATAAGGGCCTGAAGTGCCATCATTTTCTCAAATAAGGACATGAAGTGGATTTTGCATCAAATAAGGGCCTAAAGTGATATCATTTTCTCAAATAAAGATCTGAAGTGGATTTTGTTTCAAATAAGGGCTTGAAGTTGCTATGTCTGTTTCAAGATAGTAAGGGCATTTTCGTCTTTTAACTTTTTTTGAATTTTTTTCCTTTTTCTTTCTTTTTTCCTTTTTTTTTTTCCTTTTCTTGTTTCTCTTTGTTCTTGCCGGTGGCCGGCCATCGGAGAAGCTCGGGATGGGCTGGACAAGGCGACCCTCGCCAGCTGCCGGCAAGGGACGAGGCGAGGCCGCCCTCAAAAGCCATAGGCGAGGGCCGACCCTCGCATGTGGCTTTCGAGGGCGGCCTCGCCGAGGCGAGACTGGCCTCGCTCAGGCGAGGCCGTCCCTCGCCGGTTGTCGGCATGGGTTCCCAGCCCTTCCTAGGCTTTGCCAGTGGTCGGCTGGCCACCGACGAAGCACAAAGAGAAAACAGAAAAAGGAAAAAAAGAAAAGAAATGAAAAAAAGAAAGAAAAAGAA